AGTTTAAGAAACACTTTGACAATATTTTAAATATGAGAATTAATGATCTGTGTCCTCTTTCTAAGTACCAGAGTGCCGAACTTTTAATAGAAGAACCAAGTAAAGAGGAAGTTGAAGTAGCTATCGGAAAATTAAAATCTTATAAAGCAGCGGGAACCGATAATATTCCTAGGGAACTAATTAAGGCATCCGGGAAAGCTGGAGTTCATAAAATATATTTTGTGGTTAAAAAGATATGAGAGAATGAGAAATTGCCTGAAGAATGGAAAGAATCCATTCTAATTCCGGTTCACAAGATGATTTAAAACAAGATGATTCTCTTTCACCCCTTCCATTTAATTTGGAACAATATCCGTGCTTGGGTATGCTGATGATTTGGTATTGTTAAGCGAAGACACGGAAACAATAAAACTAAATACAACATTGATAAAAGCCGTCAAAGAACCAGGACTCGAGGTAAATACGGATAAGATAAAATATATGGTTAGCTGCAAAAACAGCAACAATTTCTAACATATCAGTATAGAAGGGAATGTGTTTGAACACGTACAGAATTATAGGTATCTAGGGTCTACGACAACTAGAAAAGAAAAAAAAAAAAATTGATGAGCATATTAAGTTTAGATTGAAGGCGGGAAATGCTTGTTATTTTTCTTTGTCTAAACTACTTAGTTCTCGCCTCCTGTCCCAAACTTTAAAAACTAGAATTTGCTTACATTAAGGGATCAGCAACATTTTAAGGTTTTTGAAAATAAAGTATTATGTAGAATATTCGGACAGAAAAAGTACGAGTCAACTGGAGAATTTAGGCAGTTACACAATTCTGAATTGCGTGAACTGTATCCAGTTAATATAATTGAGATGATTAAAGTTGAGGCGAATGAAATGGGCATGTAAAATCACTGGGCTTAGTAACGAAAGAATTCCTTAAAAGTTCATAAGACTGGTAAGCGTCAGAGGGGTAGACCAAAGCAAAGGTGGGAAGATTGCGTTAAGGCTGATCTAGCAGGGTTGGGTTTAGAGCCCAGTGGATGGAAGAATGTGGACATCGATTGGTGGTATCGGCATTGAACCTTATTATTATTATTATTATTTTATTTGTCAACACTTCTACAAAAGGTTTTTTTTTGTTTACTTGAGAGGGGGAGAATCAACTCCAACCACCTCAGGTATGTTCAATTTTAATTACTATTGAATGTTGAGAAAGCTTCTTACAATTCTGGCAGTATTCAGCAGCACCGCTTTCTGAGCTTCCTTTATTACATGAGTTGGGAGGCCCAGCCTGTCAGTAGCTTCCACAGTAGACACCGGTACCAGGCCATTGCTGGAGATCACGATGCCCCTAACGGTTACTTTATTAAGTTTATACAAACTTTTTAACTCAGCTGCTAGACCTTGATATTTCCGAATTTTTTCTGCGCAGACTGAGTTAATGTTTCCGTCATTTGGCACAGCTATATCTATAATTTCAGCCACCTTAATATTACCGTCAATTAATACAATATCAGGTCTGTTGTGGATCACGAGATGGTCTGTTATGAACGATTGGTTCCAATATAATTTTAAGTCATCTTTCTGGCAAATATCTTTAGGGCAATATTTATAGTAGGGCTTCGAGTCGTTTAATAATTTAATTTTTAGACCAATTGCCTGGTGATAGACTTTGGCAACATCGTCATGTCTTTTTAGATATTCTGTACCTGCAAGAGCTCCGCAGCCTCCAGTTATGTGTTGAATGGACTCATATGTGCTTGCACAGAGCCTACATTTGTCCGATACATTCTGTTGCTTCAAGACGTGTCGCCAGTAGGATCTGGTAGCTATAACCTGGTCCTGGATTGCAGTTAAAAAACCTTCAGTCTCGGGAAACAGACTTCCTCCTACCAGCCAGCTAACAGACAAAGATTTATCTATTTCAGTCTGCTGAAGCTGGTGAAAAAACCTTCCATGTAATGCTTTTGACTTCCATTCTTCCATGCGGTCTTTGTCGGTAACAAAGATTGGCGCAGTTTCATGAGAGGCTAATTGTAGAGCAGTGTGCCCGCGATCGAGATTGCAGATTATCTTATGACACGGCACTGCGCTTTGTTTAAAGTACTCCCTTAGGTTCTTTTCTTGATTTCGACAAGACTCTGCAATATTTGTAAGCCCTCTCCCTCCTTCCATTCTTGGCAGGTAAAGCCTTGCCATAGATGCAGTCGGGTGGTGCATTCTGGAACCCGTCATACTTGTTCTTATTAACCTATCTAATTCCTGGAGTGACGTTGTGGACCATTTTAGAATTCCAAAGCTGTAAGATAAGGAAGGAATAACCCATTTATTTATAGCTTTTATCATTAAACCTAAAGAAAGATGTGTTCTAAGGATGATCTTTAGTCTTTTTTTAAATGAACCTATCAATTTACCTTTTACATCCTTTTTAGCTATTTTTAAATGCTGTTCTATCCCTAGATATTTATACGTATCTTCTTTCTGAAGGTTCTTAATATGATATTCTTCATTAAACAAGTTTTCGGAATTATTTGGTTTTCCTTTTATAACGTGAAGAACTGCGCATTTCTCAGTCCCAAGGGACATCTGTATGGAGTCACTAAAGTGGCTGACTGTCTTTAGCATAGACTGGAGCTGGGATTTATTCTTTGCGTAGAGTTTTAAATCGTCCATATAAAAGCTATGACTGATCATTGCACTTAATTCATTAAATTTTACTTTGTATCCATTTTCTTCACGATTTAATAAAATTGACAATGGAGCCATCGCAAGACAAAACCAAAGGGGGCTGAGGCAGTCTCCCTGGTATATACCTCTTGAAATGGTAATGTATTCAGGTGATTGCTTATCTCCTATTCTCAGTTTTGTTTTCCAGTTGTCCATCAATTTCCTCAGAAGTTCTTTAATATAAGGATGGATTTTATATAAATCCAGAACTTTTAAAAGCCAACTATGAGGAACTGAGTCAAATGCTTTTTTGTAATCAACCCAGGCTATTGACAAATTTCTTTTATTCATGGTCGTCTGGCCTGCAACGAATGAATCGATGAGCAAAAGTTCTTTACACCCTTGGGCTCCTTTTCTACAGCCAAGCTGCTCGAGTGGAATCAAATTATTGGTTTGCAGGTGAACTTCAATTTTACTTGTGATGATGGATGTTAAAATCTTATACACACCGTTGAGGCAAGTGATTGGCCGAAAATCTTGGGGGTCCAATCGATCTCCTACTTTTTTGGGAATCAGCACAGTAACGCCCTCACAAAACGTTTTGGGAATGTCTATCTGCCCTGTTATCATTTTTTTATAATTCATTGCAAGTGTTTCATGCAGGCAGGATAAATTCTTTAACCAGTAATTCTGAATTCTATCACTACCCGGCGCTTTCCAATTTTTCATTTTCTTTGTAGGGATGATTACATCCTCTTTCGAGATGTCGAATTCTGGCATTTGAGGTTTCTCCTGAAGTTCAGCATTTACTAATTTTAACCATTCGTTTTCATTATTATGCTCTACATTGTGCTCCCAAAGCTCTTTCCAATACTCTATAATATTGTCAGTTAATGAACAATTTGCACCTCCCTTATTATCATTACCTAAGCTCCGATAAAACTGCTGCTCACTGTTTTTGAACATTTTGTTCTGCTGTTTTCGAAGTAACGACTTTTTATATCTTCGTATTCTGTTTGCATAAACTGCAAGTTTTTGCTTCAGTATATCAGCATGTAAAGCCAGTTTTTCGGTGAGCTCAGATTCTAACACCACCCCTATTTGTAGTACAACTATTTCGTCGATTTTTCGTTTTACTTTTGTACTTGCTCCAACGGGGTTCCTGATATAACTCGTTATGACTCCAATATTTGCCCTGAGCGACGCTATTTTATTTTTTAATCTTCTCTGCCAGCGTGGAAGTTTTGTATGATTTTTACTTTTATTTTTTCCTTGTTTTTCCAAGCCAAGTTCAATAATAATGACACTAGCTGCAACATAGGCCCAATGACAAACAGCTTCGACAGTCATTTCTGGGTAATCTACAATAATTCTACTCAGAGCCTCATTAACCCGATTCACAGTCAACCGTGATTTGAAGCTATAGGGAATCTTTGAGAGGATTGGTCTAACATCAAGCGGTATCCCCTCATAAATCACATGCTGGGATAATAATGATTCCACTAGTTTGTCAATGTCTTTGTCTTCTTCTTCTGGAGGAGCTGCCTCTATTGCCATCGATCTTTCTAGAAAAGGTTCTGTTGGCTGCTCTTCATTTTCAATTTGCACCATTCCTAATCGTTCAGATACTACTATTTTGATATTTTCTGTTTCCACTTCAGATAGAAATTTTCTTGAACGGATCACTCTAACTTGGTCACTTATCCTTTGTGAACTCATAGTCATCTGTGGATATAGTTCTTGCCAATACTGTTGAATCCTTCCTAGGTATCCCGTCTTATCTGTTTCCAATTTTGTTGCCAAAAGATATGCCTGGATGACAGCCTTGTTCATTTCTGGCGTCCATTTCATCCTTCGAGCACCTCTTGGTCTCTGTTGCCGGGTTCGTGCGGGAGGAGAAATAGTCTCGCCCAAGCCCGAACTCGAACTAGTTGCCGGTTCTTGCAGTCTTGTGGTCCTTTGCGACAGGGTGGCGCCACTTGCTCCGCCACTACCTGAAGGAAGCTGTCGAAGGTTCCCGCCTGGTGCAGCCTCATTCCCAGGCTCGTCCGAGGCTATACGTCGATTTCTTAGCTCCATTTTTTATGGGTGATTGCATTTTAAACCTTCTGCCAGGCCTTCCTAGGTAAGGTTGCCCTAGGGTGTGTACTGCAAATGTCCTTGGTGTCAGTGTATGTGGTATTGTGTACTGTGATGTATGTGTTTGTGAACGGTGGGATGTACTCAGGATCCCGGGGGAGCGTAAAACCCCAACAACTGCGTTCATCAGTTGCCCTTGCGGGTTTATTATTATTATTATTATCTTAATTATTTGATGAACAAGAGGGGAAAATGATACTTACTTGCAATTCTTCTAATTTACTCGTTATTTCTGCAAGATACTCATCTAAATCTTTACCTTCACAGATTTTATTTATTGAAAATTCATCAGTTTCAACCGTTTCCTTTAATGTTTTTAACTTGGCATATGAGTATCTTTTTTCAGCTTCATATTGAATAATTTCATTTTCTTTTATTTTGATTTCTTCATTTTTAGATTTTATCTGATCACTCTAAAATTTAAGAGAGAGAAACATGAAATAAATAAAGCTTATTATAAAAAGATAAAAATAAACAACCAATTTTTTATACTAACCAATTTATTCAGATATGCATCCAGTTGCATTTTGATTCCCATTTCAGGTATCTCTCCAAGTAAGTGCTTTAAAGTAGAACTGTGTTTATTTTTTCTACAAAACCAGACAACAAACAAATCAAAAACAAAAAACATTTTTTTAATTACAGTGAAAATGGATACTACAGGAAAAATGTAAAAAGTCCTAAGAATATTGGCATCTCTGAGTAGAATATATTTATTTAAGATGTATTGATATTTGTATGATTAGATATTAAAGATGAATTACTAACAGTTTTATTATTTCGACTTCAGTTGCTTTTTTGGTTTTGTGTTGAACATCTAGTTTAGCCTGTTCTTTGCTCTGGAGTTGAAGAACTTGAATATCCTTTTCGAGGATGCACAACTCTTCTTCATACCTAAGTAAAATAATATATCAATATTTTTACAGCAATACTAGGCCAAATAATAAGATAAAAAATTGGATGTAAGTGAATACTGAGGAAGAGGTAGGATATTCAGCCATATGGTAGGGGAGAGAACCCTTTGGTAGCACCTATGGATGTTATGGAGTATAGTGCAGTAAAATTTATTTTCTTCTGAATGATAAAAGTAAATAATTTATTTGAGAAGGAGTTAGTCGAGGGTGCGGTCAAATAAATAAAAAAATTAAAATATATAAATATATTTTAATTTTTTTATTTATTTGACCGCACCCTCGACTAACTCCTTCTCATATCATATCAACGGTCAACCATCTCTACATCATTATAAATAATTTATTTATTTTATAGAATATTATATAATGGAATTTTATTTTTTTTAAATAAGAAGAAAACGAAAATAACCGGTTTAATTAATTAGGTCTATTATAAAACATTATACAGTTAAAAATTATATCAGTTGACAAAAAAATTTCAGATCAATATGTCAGATCAATCGATTTATTGTTTTACCTATTTCTTTCGGCCTCAGCAGATTTAATATCATTTTCAAGTTTTTCTACATTAGTGCTTTTCAAAACAATATCCAGTTCATTTTTCACTCTATCGATTTTGGTTTCTAATTGGCTAAGGAGTTGTGTCGATTGATCAACCTGTGAAATATAATCCATCAGATATAGGTTAATTGATAATTCAAACATAAATTTTTTAAAAAAGTATCAGTATTAATAAAAAATGTATTTTAATATTAAGGAAATGAATAAAAAGTCAGATCTATTAAACCACCTGTAACAGTCATTCATAATAGATAAAACTCTTAAAAGTTAAAATTTTATAGATATAACAAAAAGTATAAGGAAACAATGTATACTTACTATCAGTATAACATAATGTAACCACTAAGGATAGTTGGCAACAAAAGTTAGTTTATTTAAAAAAAAAAAAAATTAAATAAAACATTTAATTTTTTTGTTGTATTATCAAATTACATCTTTACAAGTTAATGTTAATGGGGATATTTACTCACATCTTCAGAACCACAATCCCAATGATCTTGTGGATACATGGCTTAAATCTTATGTGCTCCATCGTTAGGTTCTAATTCAAGTTATAATAAATCAAAGTATTTAACATCCAGAGCAACATCTTGCTTTTAGACTAATTATTGGGTGTCTGACTGCAGGCATGGGAGTAAATATCCCGAAACGTTAACTTGTAAACATGCAATTTGATAATACAAGAAATAAATTCAATAGTTGTTAATTGAAAGTAATCATTGCCAAATAACAAAGAATATCATACAACTTCCCAGAAAAAAGAAAAAAAAACATTGAACTATTTAATCAATGGTATTCACCATTAAAAAAGGGAATTTAGTAATTCTAAATATATGGAAATGGAATGGAATATATATGGAATGGAATAATATAGGTTATAAGTCTAAACTTTAATAAAAAAGATCTGGTGCGAGCATCACATAACTTTCACTTACTGCCCTTTTTTTAAAAACAGAAATAGGGATTTTCAGACAAAGGGAAGTGAAAGTAAAAATTACAGATGGTACAAAATATTTTTTGAAACAATCAATTACCATGTTTTTTTTTCCGCTAATCATTGCCTTTCAGGATTGCATATTTTAATTTTTTATTTGATTATAATAAATAATCAAGTGCCACGAAATATTTTTAGTTCGACATGAGTGCCACTGATAATGAAGGCCGCTAAATTTACATATATTTCATTCTAGGTATCTTTATTTGTTTAAGCATTGGTAAATATATATAAATTTTTCTTTTCATATTGCAGTATTCTATAAAATTAGATATTTAGTAACATCAACGCTAGCATTTATGAAAACTGCACATGATTATATATAGAAGTCTATTCTAACTTTCGGTTAAGCTTGGCTACACGCTCGGGTTTTGTTGGTTCTCTATTAATAACGATTTATATTAGATTAATTCTCCGTTAGATAATTATTAAATTCCTTCATATTTAACCATTTTATATATCAGATTCCAATGTGAAATGATCAACTATTTTAAATTAAAAAAATTAAAGGTACTTTAGAGAAAGAAATTTTGAAAATTAGGCATTTAAGCCCTGATGGAGAACATCAATGAGAATAAGACCTACATTATATTATAAAACATTTAACAAAATTATATTAAAAAACATAACACTGATGTAATGAATTTAACAAAAATCGTTAAGAGCCATTTTCGAGAAAATCATAAAAATGTCAAAAATCAAAAATATAAAGTGGCACTTCTGCTAAGCAGATTTTAACGAAAAAGTTGCTGTAGCATTCCAGCTATATAGAAACCTTAAATATGCAATATCACACACAGACAAATTTGGGAGACATGGTAATAAGACTCAGAGGACCACAAAACATGTATTTCCATTGAAAATTCTAATTTGAAAATTTTCACGATTGTAATACTTTCACTTACTATATAATTATCATATATTATCATTTAATGTATTCTTATTTTGAGAAGGTGAAATTTTAATAATATTAATTTTAAATTTATAATTGATTTTCTAATAATTCAAATAATTTACACAAAACCATTTCAATTCGCTTACATTCTTCCCCAAACAAAATTATCACAGCTGTTTATAAACCACATAATAAAAAGATCCAAGAAGAAGAAATTCTGAAGTTATTTCCACCGAACAAATAAACATTCGTCACAGGTGATATGAACTGTAAACATATTTATTAGGGGCGTTGAAAATCTAATCAAAATGGTAGTAAATTGCAAGATATTTCTTCTTGGCATAATATTCAAACTATAGCACCTAATGATCCAACGTTCTTCAGAAAAGGGTGTATAACTGACATCTTAGATATTGTGCTAACAAAAAAATATAACTCTAACGACAGCAGCAAAAACAATTTCCACTTTGAATTCAAAACACATCCCCATTTTAATTTCTTTCTCAACCGAAATCATGGATCTTCCTTCTCGGAAATCTCTAATTGATGGAATGATAAGACTGGGACATATACAAACAATTAATACACCAAAATGTTAGATTCAAAAACAATCTTCGAGACTCCCGGGAAATTTATCAGAGCATAAATCATCAATGGGTTTATTTCTAAATGCTTAGAAGAGTCAATTATATATCCATTCTCTACTAGAAGAAAAATGTTAACAAATAATGTTCCAAATTCAATTCTATTGAAAATAAAGGAAAATAATTTTGCAACAGTCGGTTAGAATTGAAAATCCAGTACAAAAAAGTGAAGAGAATCACCTCAAGCATATTGTCAAAAAAGAACTCAAGGAATTCACACTTTTTCAGTACAAAAATGATGTCACTGACCTGGACCCAAAAAACCAATCGTTATGGAAAGCTACATGACTTATTTTAAGAAAACATTACAAACCTAACAGAAAATGGAAGTTACATTACTGGTGACAAGGAAAAAGCTAAAATCTTTGCTGACTTTTTGAAAAAAGGTTATTGTCACTGTCTGTTACATAGGAGTTACTGAAAAGCCTTTCAAAACTAACAAAACTCCATGAAAAGTAAGTTATACTGATTATATCACTAACTTAAGTTATATTAATAAATTAATATAGCGAATAAAATAAATAAATACAACCTACATCAGAAATATCAGATTTGATTTTCTGTAAATCCGTTCTGGTCTGTCTGATAGTAAAGCGTTTGTTTTCTATGCTCTGTTCCAGTTTGGACCGAGACTCTCTCGTGTTATCTATTTCTGATTGAAGTTTTGAAATGGCTGTTCTTTGCTCCTTCTCCAATTGTTTAATACTATCTTTCTTTTTAGAGATCTCTTCATCAACCAGACCCATAATACGATCCGCTTCTCTGCCCTGAGTCAGTTCAGAAAATGATGTATCTGTAACCAAGAGATACATTATTACAGTATAAACAATTAAAACAATTATCACAGTATAAAATAAAAAAAATAAATAAATAAAATAAATATATATATATATATATATATATATATATATATATATATATATATATATATATATATATATATATGTGTGTGTATAAATATAACAGGAAGCTTAAACCAACTGTAATGAGGAAGTAAATATGGAAGTATGATGTGTTCATGTCAGGCCAAGAAAAAAAATTATTTTATATAATTACAATAATTTTTTGTGCTATTTTTTACTTTCACTAACCTATATATGAAATATATAGTAAAGGAAAGTATTGCAATTGTGAACATTTTCGAATCTGAGTTTCCAACGGAAATATATGTTTTGAGGTACCCTGAAGTGTGTGTGTGTGTGTGTGTGTGTGTGTGTGTATGTGTGCATGTGTTAACAGTCTAGCTCAAAAATGAAAAGTCGTACAAATTGCATATTTAAAGTTTTTATATGCCTGGAATGTTACAGCAACTTTTTCGTCAAAATCGGCTAATTGCAAGTGGCACTTTATATCATCGATTTAAGATATTTTTACAATTTTCTCAAAAATGGCTCTAACAATTTTGATTAAACTCATTAGGTCAGCGTAACATAAGGGTTTTTAATTTAAGGTAGGTTTTAATACGCTTGCTGAGCTCGCCAGGAGATTGGAAACAGACTTCCATATGTAACATGAGATTAATATAATACAGCCTCCGAAAATATTAGGTACAGTTTTCATAAATGCTATTGTTGGTATTATTTAATATTTAATTGTATTGATTACAGCGATATAAAAATTAAAATTTGTATATACTATATATATACTGTACCGGTACTTAAACAAATAAAAATACCCACAATATAATATGCATAAATATTGCTGCTTTCTTTATCAGTGGCACTCGTAAAAGTAGTTTCAAAAGAATGCTAAAAAGGAATATAACTTAGACATTAGACTGATGAATAATATTCTTGAAATCTGTACAGAGCAAAGGTAACAAACAATAATATAAAAAATTGTTGAAATTATATAAAATAAATCTTTTCTCGGCTACTAAGGCCAGTACATGTGTCCAATACATGTTTTGATGTAGAATCACAAAAGAAAATTTTTTTGAAATTGGTAGACCATGAGTGTGACTGTGACCACTTCTTGTAAGTACATCTAATAATAACTATCTGCACTAAATTACTTATTTAATTCATTTATAACAAAGCTTTGTCTTTGAGTCTGTAATTAAAGAATCACCATTTATACTGTTAATGCTTAATAAACATTTAATATATTTTTTTACTATAATTTAAATCTCTTTCTAACTTGGTTAGTTGAAACAAACCATCGGCATTAATAACATGAAGTTTATATGCCTTTAAGCAGAAAAAAATAAACAAATAATTAAATAATGTCTGACTGGGAACAAAGCAATTTTGCTAGTAATAGTGTGAGGAACAAGTATAGTGGGAGACCATATAAATAGAGTCAGAGGAAATATCCTATTATAGTGGAATACTACTATAAATATTTATGAATAGATATTGTTGGTAATGGTAAGTTATGAAAGTATTCATATTATTATTATTAGAGGGTAAAAACGATTTTTTTTTTCTTTCAATCCTTTAAGTGGAAGTCAGTAATGATATATTTTATTATTTTTTTTTTTTTTTAGCATTAAGCAAGCATTGGGATAGTTCTGAGTAGAGAACAGTATTATATCCAATTGATATAATAGAAAATTAGGAGGGTTGAGGCATGGTCCCCACTCCATTCTATCTCTTATTTCTATTTTAGGCCAACAACATGCATTTTCAAATTAAGTATGGTCCCTTATAAAAGAATTGAATGACGAACTACAGTCAGTGGATTGTGCACACTTAAGTCTTATAAGGTTTACAAAATATATCATTTACTTAGGCACAATTCATTGGACAGTTTCAAAAGAGCAGCATTGCGTTTATCGATCAGATCTTTGTGATTTTCAAAATCACGCATAAGTTGACCTATTTTCATTCTTTCCGTTCCAATTAACTGTTGGTTTCTTTCTATTTCTTTTGCAACATCTTCTCCTTCTTTTTCAAGGGTTTCAACTTTAGCCTCTTTCTTCCTAGAGTTAAATAAACAAATTAAATAAAGCATATAAGAAAACAATATATAAACAAAAATAACTATATATATATATATATATATATATATATATATATTAGTGGTTTGCAGATGTTGATAGAAAATTGATCAGTAAATTTTTAAGTATTATTCATAATTTTAACCATTCTTAGACTGATAAAATTAGAGGGAATCATGAACTCGCCTAGAAAGTTCCAGCATGCATTTTAAGCCTTGCCGGGAGATCAGGCGCAAGTTGAGAGTTCTTCAACATTCTATAAATTAGTTTAAAATGTTAGTTGTTAGAGTTTTAAGTAAATGAATCAGTTAGTGATTCCATTATCTCATAGTGATTCCACTATTACTGAATTCTTTATCAAAGTTAAGGTATATTCAATTTATTTATTTTTTCTTAGGAGAGAATAGTTATTTGATTATTACTATTCTTCATTTGTTGTATACGTTATTGATACTTTTTTTATTTATACAATTCAATAGATCTTTTGGTCAGAAAACCAGAACTTTACTTTCTCAACACTACTGTTGTTCTTAAAGACATTGTCCCAGAATAAAGTTATGTTTGAATTCTATTATATACACTGACAGGCAAAAAATTCCACCCACTTGATTTTTTTCATGTTTTCATCTAAAAATATTTCTGCTTTGGATTGGTCTATTGTTTTTAATGAATAAATAGGTAATCTTTTTGTTTGTTTTCAATTAGGAATGTTAATATAGAGGACAATAACCCTTAATCCTTAATTCAATGAAATGATTCTAGATTCCAATGTTTACTTTCTATGGAATCAAAATGTTTATTCAGTATCATTAGTGCAGCGTTGTTTCTTGCAGCACATTTCTTAGTCTCCGGCTTTTCATTTTTTCAATATTAAGTTTAAAAATACCTCTTAGTGCTGAGGATGTTGCGCGTGGTGTGGCACTTATTGATGATGGACGTCCCATTAGATATGCAGCTAATGCCATCAGAGTTCCATATGAAACTTTCCGAGATGCCGTCAGGCGTTTTCGGGAAACTGGTTCTTACAATAGAAGGGTAACAGAACCACAGGATGACCGGTTTTTGACTTTGAGAATTTAACGAAACCGGCACCTTACCATTGTTCAAGCGATTCATCAGCTCAAAGAAGTTCGAGGTGTGCAAGCCATTGTACTATGGACGAATGGAGGGCTGTACATTTTACAGATGAGTCAAAATTCGTTCTTCGATCTCCAGACGGGCGTGAAAGGGTGTGGAGAAGAAGAAACGAAAGATATGCAGCCTGTAATTTTTCCCAGACCCCCACCTTTCCAACATGGTTCCTTAATGGTGTGGGCTGGGATTTCAATGGAGTGCCGCACAGAATTGGTTGTTGTTCACGGAGGGTCTTTGACGGCCATTCGCTATATATGAGATTTCGGAACCTCATGTGTTGCCTAACCTCAATGAAATCGGCGATCGTTCTATTCTAATGCACGATAATGCATGCCCACATGTCGCCCGCATAGTGCAGACGTTCCTTCGAACAGAACAATATTGAGGTTTTAGCCTGGCCAGCACATTCTCCAGATTTGAACCCCATTGAGCATTTATGGGATAACCTCGGAAGACGAATAAGAGCGCGTGCAACACTTCCTGATACACTGCAGAACCTTGAAAGGGCTCTTCGGCAGGAATGGGCTATCCTCCAGCAAAGGGACATTTCCCGACTGGTGGAAAGTATGCCGAGGCGTCTTCAAGAAGTAGTGAAGGCAAGAGGAGGAAACACATGCTACTAAACGATGATGTAATTAATTTCTTTTAAAATAATAATGGTCCGTTTTTCAATTTTTTTTTCTTTAATCTTTTTTATCCAATCACATTTTGATTATTAAAGTTAAAAAAGATTATAAAATTCCATAAATACTAAGTATTATCTACAAATACCATGTATTATATACAAATACAACTTTTTTTACAAGTGGGTGGAATTTTTTGCTTGTCAGTATAGATCACATTTTAGTGATTTTACCTACATTTACTGAAATTTAATGATTTGTAACATTTGTTTTTTAGTAACAATACTAACTTATTAATTGACATTTTCATTATATAAAATGTAATCATAAAATAAGCAAATCCACAAAACAGGAGACCAAGAGACAAAAAAGGAAGTGAAGCCAGTAATTTGAAAAATCTTGAATTTATTTTATTTTATTTTTTTTTAATTCATTGATATTTACAACTGTATTATAAAAAAATACAACTAGTAAATGTGCACTCAGGAATATAATAACATGAAATCTCTTGTTGAGAAACTACCCATTGATAGCACTCAAATAATAAATTTACACAAGAAGATCACGAGGCCACCTTCTTTTCAGACATCTTGGAGGGTTATCAGGGATTGAGGAAGAAGCAAGGTTTGAAACGAGAGGGTTCGGATGGTTCTGCAGATTGTTATGGAAGGATAGGTATCTGGATTGGGCCAAATCGGAAACATATGGAATATTAAGGTCTTTATGGATGATTTTATTTGTGACAAAGTAAGGAGCATTGATGATTTTATGAAGGATTTTGGATTGTAAGGATTGGATACGAGAGGAATTAATCTTGAAATAAAAACAAAATTCACACTTATAAAAGACATTCCTAGCTGCTTCTCAACCACGGATAACACAGCAACAAAGAAGACATGGACCATACTGATGATCATGAACCAAAATCGGTTGAAAAACCAGATATACTGGGTGTGAAATAGTTCTCAAAAGGCTTAAAACAAGAAAAACCCTGGGGATGGACAACCTACCACCAGAAATGCTTGAAAATGAGAGAGAAGACCAGAGGCTTGGAACATGGGCCTAATCTCCTTATTCTAAAGAAGAGCTCCATGTAGGAGTGTAATAGCTTCAGAGGCATAACACTCTTTCCAATTACTTACAAGATAATAAAAAAACATCCTACTAAGTTGGATACACCCATATTACAAAAATATAATAGGCGACCACCAAGTAGGATTCAGAAAAGGAAGGAGCATGCTAGATCTTCATCTTGAAAGAAGTGCACGAACAACGGTGGAAAGTAGTTCAGAATGTTCATGCCTTATTTGTCAATTTCAAAGCAGCCTATGATTCCAGGGACAGAATATGTTTGAAATAGGAGTTCCCAGGAAGTTGATGAAATTGATGAATACATGTACAAATGATTGAACTGGCTTGCGGCAGGGAGATGAAGTCTCACCAATGCCGTTAAACTTAGTGTTAGAGTAAGTGATAAGAACAACATCACATAAAAATGGAGGTGAATCATAGGAATGAATCACAAAATCCTTGAATATGCAGATTACATAGCTATCCTGGGAGGTGATCAAGGGAACATTAAGAAACTCACTAAAACTTTGATAAGAGAAGCAGAATAATCAGCCAACAAACAAAACATAAGACAGCATATGAAAATTTTAGCCCAACAACAGAATATGCGTAAAAGGAAAATTGTTCCTGAATTAATATAAATTCAAATAACTTGACTTAACAATAACCTCAATGAATGACCAACAATCATTGTATGTGGAATAGACCCCCCTACTGTATACTTTCTCTCTCCCCACATCCCTCTAAACTACATATTGTTGTGTTTCTTGCAACTATTGGTGTCCAAACATCATAAATATAATAGGCTGATGACTGACTTGAGTTAAGTTTTTTGGTCATTAAGATTCAGCATTTGGCTTAATTTTGTCATAATTGGCCTTTTATTAAAGTTGGATATTCAGAGAATAATAAAACATGAAAAAATAATTGGCTTAGGCAATAACCAACATCAGTAAAGTAAATTTTTTCAAGTCATTCAAACTAAATTTAATAACCAAGTGCCATTTGTAATTAAACGGGCAACAATAATGAAAAATGCCCTGAAATAAAACTAGATTTCTCTTTGTAAATCACTGATTAATTGGTTCCTTAGAAAATGCACTTCATGGGCGGAAAAGCGGTATTGGCGTAACCGGCTACCACCAAACCAGATTAAGGAAAACTTCTGCTGTTTGAGCAGAGGATCCTCAGGAAAATCTTTAGGCTTGTTAAAGATACGATTTTCTGTCACTGAAGGAAAAATTAAGAACTTCGTAAGCTTTATAAACAGTTGGACATGGTTAAGTTTATTAAGATTGGAAGGTTACACTAGGCTAGGCAACTTAAATGGATAATTTAAGGATTTCCAAATTCCAGATCTCAAAAGAACTGCAGAGAACAAGAAGAGTAGGAAGGCCTCTGAGAAGTTGGCTGGATACTCCGTGTTGGTGAACTCAAAATACCTCCAACAAATCTGAAACCAGATAGCTGCATCAGAGGACCGCGCCAACTGGTGGAGCCAGCCCAAACACAGAGATGGGTTGTTGCACAAGCTATGATGATGGTCACGATTGTAAGTTATGACAAATATGGTAACATATTTAAATAAAAAAATCTTTAAATCTTTCTTATATTGAGTATAGATAAAGATCTTTATTACAAATATAATTTTTTTTTTAAATTAGATCAGTTCATCACAGACGATATTGCCAAAATAAGATAGATTCAAGCAATGACACAGCTTTTATCTTTCACTCATTGGCAATGGCTTCAACTGGTAAAATAGTTAATCAGCAATAGTATGACTTTAAGTTTGTGATATAGTACTTAGTTAAGAATGTTTCTACTTATAATAGTATTATACTCTTTATAAATAGTTTATCTGAATACATGGTAATTAGATCAATAATTTCACTTAAAAAACCCCTAACCAAATGGAATAAAATAAACATAAGTTGACAAGTACAAAAACTATTTACTTGAGTTCTTGGCCAAAATTTCGAATGGTTTCTTTTAACTCATCTGTAGTTCCTTTGAACTCAATAGTAATATTTTTTCTATATTCACTTATTGAGTTTTTTACAGCTCCTAATCTTGCCTTTTCTTTCTCACATTCTATGTGCAAAGCACTAATTTTATCTTCAAGCTCTGCAAGCTCTTTCAATCTGTCTGTAAAAAAAACCAGTACCTTAATTTTAATATTGATATTGAGTTAAACTAATAAATATTTCAAGAATGAATGGTTTCTAAAAATTTTTTTTTTAATATTCTTAAAGTAATAGAGGATATGAAATTAAACAGAAATAATTCTATCTTATAATCCTATCCACTCTAAGAGACGGAATATACTTGCATATCTATTTAAAAATATAGGTAGATAGTGATCTTAAGTTGATGTCTATGTATATCGAAACTTGCAGTAGCAGGGTGCGATTCATCCCCAAATGAAGCTCAAGACTCTTCTGGAAATGTATTAATAGTTTACTTTCTGTATGTTTACATGCAAGGAGTGTTTTATATAGTAAATGTACACACCCATGAGAAGGAATGTACTTGCAAGGAGCCATAAGAAAGAATTGAAGTCACTTGATTACTACAATTTTCAATATTCATAGACTTCAATTTCACTATCTATCTACAAATGTACTAAGTTAGATATTTAAGTATACCCTGTTCCTTAGAACAGATAATTATAAGATGGAGTTATTTCTGTAGTCATTTTTTAAAAATTAATATTTGTTTTTTAACATCTTCTATTTTTCAAGGAGTGGCAATTTATATTGATTGTACATGATAATTAATTTACAAATGATATATGGGTCATTTCACTTTAAATGTTCGATTTCGCTTCCCCAGTACTTAATTGTTTAGAAGTATCATTACAGAAAGATCCCAACCATTTGAACTTTTCCTTATACTAGATCTGAAAGAAAATGAATAAACTAGAGGTCAATTCCTGGAATATTACTGTCCCCTATGCATTAAAAAAATATATATTCAATTTCTATTTGAAAAACTGCATGTGGATGTTTGGAAAAAACATGAATTCTTAATGCTAGATGTCTTTAAAGTTCAGAATACGATACAAATTTTAAGCTTACAGTCTAGAGGAATTATGTTAAAAGTTTGGTCACAATATCTCAACATTTTGGTTCTCCATAGGTGTTATTTACCTTATGATCACGAAAATAGTTTTGTAAATCAGAGAAGGATACATGGTAAAAGTTGACCAAGTTGACTGACAAACCAAATCATGAACTTGATGTTCTTGAAGGAAAAAGAAATGAAAGAATGGCAATCAAACGGACTGAGTCAGAAATGACAAAGATAGTAAAAAACTTCAAAACGAATCTAGATACTCAAATTAATAATTTTTAAATCTCAGAGAAGTTGTGGAAGGAAGAAAAAGGGAACATGTCTTTCTTTTGAGGAAGACAATGTTGTTCTATCGGGCCTGACCAGAGGTCCACCCAGGCTTGTAAGGTTTTATTTTTTAACTTATGAATTTACATTACATAAAAGTACAGGAAATACTATATACAGGATGTGACGTAAGTAAAGCAAAATATTGAAAGTCGTGTAACAGTTGACGTCAAGAGCTACAAAAAAACTGGTTTACGCGATGGTCCAATTTTTTGCAGAAAAGCAGGAAATCTGAGTTTGTATTATTTATGCGTCACATTTTTTGTTAAATGAGAAGAGATTACTAAAAAAAATAATTAATTTAGGCATAACATTGTTTCATAGTAAACCAGACAAAATTTACTTCTAATTAAATCAGAGTTTGTATTTCTTAAAACCATTTAAAGGAGTCTTTCAAGGAGGTAAACTATGTTAGGTTCTGTTTTTTATGAAATGATGAATTTATAAACATTTTTTTATCACTCTCCAACAGAACTACAGATACCTCATTTTGTCAAAAGTTCCTTGTAAAGTTGAGATTTGCTATTGATTAATATTAATAATAATAATAAGTTATTTATTCTGGGACAAGTCCCTTTAGAATTATACAAAAATACAGAAATGTGAACTAAGGGGCCTCAAATACATATATGATATTCACAAAATAAATAAACAGTTAAAATTAGAGACAGGATTATCGTGCAGTAAAAACCAAAAACAAGTAAAATTGTCTAATATACACCTAAAAATATGCAAAAATAATAATAATCTATTATATTTTCCACTGTCCTTCATACATTTCCGAACTCCTTCAATTCAAACCCTTGATTCATTCCCGCAGTACCCGCTCTAGGTCTTCAGATCTATATACTATGGCCCACCAAACCACTGCTTTTGGCAGATTATTCATTATCCGATCGTCATCCCTTTGGAACTTCATCCCTTCCCATATCCGTCGCTCCAATACCCTTCCTACCTTTAAATCCCGCCTGTTTAACCATTTTTTATTCATCCAGTCCCCATAAAATTGTAAATAGATATTACTGAAAAATTGTTTCTCCTATCACTTAATAGGTAAGTCCTTTAATTAAGAAAAAGAGCGTTCAACATGAACTGATGTAAGGGGACTCATTTTGTAAGAAGCAACCACTGCTGGTTCTTTGTCAATATTCACATTTATACCGTTAATGAAGTTGTTATGTTTTTCTATAAGAGCGTAACCAGTATTTGTTTCTATTACAGAGTAAAAATTTTTAAATATAATTATTCCTATTTCACTATTGATTTTTTTAAAGACTTTCTTCTCCAGTTTCTAAAATTCGACAAATTTCGAGATTCTAACTGAGTTAATGCTTGCAAAAATTTGACAAATGTGAGTTTATGGGTGCCAAATCGGATAACATTGATGGCCTACGATTCACTTAAAAGCCAGAAGGGATACTGAATTCAAATCAAAACAAGAAGGTAGTTTTGTTATTGAATTACTTCAGGCATGTTCTATTCCACGGATAGTCTGTCTGCACTTGTGTTTACTTCGTCCTATTGTAACGTCAAATTCAAATATTTACCAGTCATATAATCATTTATCTCCCTCATATTTTTTCCTTCTTAAATTATAAATTTAATATGGGCAAGATAGTAAAATAAAAATGTAAATATTTACACATACCTAAGTATTTATAAATCATTTAATCTAGCCCGAAATCATAAAACTGTGCAATTTAATGCAATGAAAATCAAAATCGTGCAATTTAAACCAAAAACGGAAAAACGTGAAATACAAAATTTAAACATGTTATTCTACAGATCCTGAAACGGATAGATATTCGGGTCCAGGATTTTTACACATAAGTGAATAAAATGTGCAATAAAATGGAAATCCGGTCTCTCGTCATAATAAAAAATTATCAGTTACTTTCAGAATTTAATCAATTATTAAAAAAAATTTATAAAATATAAGTAAAAATAATTAAGAATGGGCTAATAATTTATATCCATATTTGCAGTAATATCTATTTACAATTTTATGGGGATTGAATGGATAAAAAATGGTTAAACAGGTGGCATTTAAAGGTAGGGAGGGTATTGGAGCGATGGATATGGGAAGAGATGAAGTTTCATAGGGATAAGGATCGGATAATGAACGATCAGTCAAAAGCAGCGATTTATGCTCATGGAATTCACTTTCATAGGCCCTCAAAGATCTGTATGTATTGACTCCAAGACTTCATTTGCCCAATGTGCTTTGCCTGAAGAAAATGATATTTGGGCATGCTTGCCAAAAAACAATCGAAGATTCCGCTACAGCGATGATGTCACCAGTATCTCGGTTAATAATCTAACACCTCTCCTCATTCTCAAACGTTGTTCCCAGGCCTTTCCAACCAAGTTCAAAACACGAAATCAGGTTATATTTAAGACCGAGAACATAGCTCATATTTCTGATAGGAGTTATTATAGCTTTGCCGCTAACTTCGAGTAAAATCTGTGTATCACTTACTATAGTAATAGGCAATTGTTCACCCGAAGCCGTAGATTTCATATTAGGTTCTCTATTACTGGTCAACCAGTCCTTTCTCTCTGTTACGTGGATCTTTGTTTCCGAATCAATGTACCACTCGTTGGAATCAAGATGTCCGGTCGCTAAAATTTAATTTTCCAGAACAAGACCCTGGTCGATTTGATAGAGGATTCCTCAGTCCTATCCGTATTCTGGTTCCTTCTAGAAGGTTTATGACACTTATTGACATAGTGCCCAAACTGGTTACAATTTCAACACTGATATCACACTGATTCAACAGCGAGCCAATCTCCCCCTGCTAGGCTTTGAGAAGAAGACAGTTTCACTCGGAGATTCGTACTTATTGGCTTCTGCCAAGATCCTCTCCTTAACTATCAGATGCGAGAGTGGCTCCACAATTTTCGAGGGCCATAATAAGAGGTTTAAAATGGTCTGGCAAACTTGCAAAAATCAATGCAGCAAGGACACCATCCTTGATTTCTTGGTCAATTGCTTTTAGCTGTTGAGCCAACTTCACCTTCTTATTTACATACTCTGCCATATTGTAGTAGACATTTCTGTATTTACTCCTTTATTTGACATTCTGTGAAGGAATATATAGGAATGTGAGGTTGCACTATGAATTGTACTCGATTGTGCAGTGGACAAATTGTTCATTGAAAAGTCTCATATCGATAAACAATCGATGAAGAAGGAAAAAGGTCCGATCAGGTAGCAGCTGGAGAAGGAAGCCAGGAAGAGAAGAAGGCACTTGAGGCGGTGACATGAAGACAGAAGGACGTTGGAGAGAAGAGAAGACACTCTAGGCCTGGATAGGAAGAAACAAGGTTGTCAGAAGAGAGAGGCAGTACACTGAAGAGTAAGAAGATCAAGCCTACAGTTATAAGACTTTAATAGATTCATTCATTACAGTTGTTAAAATAAATTGTTTTGTTAGACAGGAGTGAAAAGTCATTTTATTTAGTTGTCCTATATGCCTCACAATTGAAGAATAGGAAACCAGGAGAGTCAATTTATTCAAAGTGTGTTTACAAAGTCCTACATTTCACATATATATTCTTATTGTTTCTTCTCACTGAGTGTCACAAAAGGTATTAGATTTCCGAATTCCCAACGACAGTTAAACACCCTCAAAAAGTCTATATCCACTGCCGGGGTTTTGTTTTAATATTCACGAGTGTAAATAACATAGTCCCCTGTTAAAACGGAACAAATTATTTACTATATCCTTACAATCTGTGTATCGTATATTTACTAATTGCTCAGTGAGAGAGGCTAAATGCGAAAAATCTTTAGGTTCATATATTTCTTCAAGCCTCTTTCATACCTCTTCATCAGTTTTCAACTCACGAAAATCAGCATAAATGTGCGATTTGACACTAAAAACAATTGCTGCCATGGTCTTGTGGCCCAACTTTTCATCAGTTGCCTTTTTTTATACCTGATCTCACAAATCACAGTTGATTAGGTGAACATCCATCGCGAATTTCCAGTCCATGTAGTTAATGCTACCTTCTAATTTTTCAAAACCTGTACTCATGATAGACATTGTAAATAAATTAAAGGAAACGTCCTTGCGTACCTGATTACTTGGATAATAATAAAGTTAAGTAAAACAAACTTCCGTAACAAGTTCACTTTTTTATACTAAAATTAGTGAAATTTTTTAGTTTGCATTAACTTGGCCCATGACCTGTTAGAGTTCTGGAAATTTGATGAAGAAAAAGAAACACAATATAAACAAAATGAAAATTTACTTCTAAATAATTCAAATACAACACTACAAATACTGGCATTAATTAAAAGATGAAAAAGTAATAAAGATTACAAAAAAAATAAGCAGTGTTGCCAGGTAGATTTACAATATTGATTGGCGATAGTCATTGTTAATAAACCCCTTCTCCTACACATGCGGCATAGGTCTCCAACAAAGCGTCTTGGGATTCAGTACTATTTGGGGAACACACTGTTTCTTGGTCTAAGGTTGTGCAAGGAGGTAATTTGACCGATATTACGCTCAACTGGCAGGTTTTTCCTCTTAATTAATTATTAAGGGTAATTACAAAGAGTACCCACTTTATAGAGACTAGGTGTGCCCTAGGAGGGTCTACCTACCCAGGGTCACCCCATGGTCAATGACACAGAATAAATAATTTAACATTGGAAGCCCAGTACCGTACAACTGAGCTATCCCTCTCTCCCATAAAGCTGCAATTATTATAATAATCATCACTTACTGGGATTGAAATTCATAGGATCCCATTCAACTAGCAGTCTCCATCTATTGCACTTTAAGGCACAATCAGCAACATGTCAGCCATATGACTGATGACACGAAAAATGACCTTATCAAATATAATTAATTTTTTCAACGAGTAACTTAAAACTTCAAATTGGTTAATTATTGTACAAATTATAAAAATCATTTCAACTTACTTTGAACAGGCATCAGTTTGACTTTAATGCAAGCAATATCATCATTATGCTTAGAAATTTTTAACTCTACATTTGTCATCTTAGCTCTTTTTTCTCCAGCTTCTTTCTTATATTCTTTCAAATAATGCAGATCTGTTTTCATTGTTCTCATTTCTACGAACCAATATTGACACATTAAATGAATGTGATGTAAAAAACTAACATTCATTTTAATAATCCTTATCAATTTAAAACATCAATCTAAAATAATACACTGATATCACCTTCCATTAGTGATTTTCTTAAATCTTTAATATGTGTTAGGCATTTGTTGTAATGTTCAGCACCAAATATTGCATCAAACCTTTTTTTAACTTCATTATCCTTATCTAATGGCCTATGGTGATAATGTAAATCATTAATTTAACAAATCCAATTAATTATCTATATCAAAAGAAAATAATACATTCTTCCTTCGTTCATACCAATTTGATTCCTCCTGATGGCAAAGAAGTACATTGCTCAAAATAGCTTTAGATACTCCAAGAGCAATACTCATTTCTGAGTCAACATCAGCACATTTGTGAGATATTGAAACCCACTGAAAAATAATTACTCTGTGTTAGATACACTGTCTGAAATTCACAAAATGTAACTAACATGAATGGTAAGAGAAATTGAAAATAATACTTGTTTTTACAACCTGGCCATTACGGTCCAACCTATTAATAGTTTGGTCTAAACTTTTAAACTCTGATTTCTTCTGTTTTTGGGTTGCTGTCATAAGTCTAAGAACACTCATTACTTCCCCCTTAACATCTCGCAATTTCAAATTAATTTGAGCTTTAGTCTAAAAATGAAATATAATAGTAATGCGATACATATTTGAAACATTAATGTTATTCAAATTGATTATTTTGTATTAATATTGTACCTCAGCAAAAGGTGTAAGTTTTGGATCATGTACCCAACCAGACCCTCTATTTGTTGATGGTGGAACTTCACCACAACAAGCAAACTTCAGTGCTTCAATTATGGTGGTTTTACCACAACCATTTTCTCCAAGAATCAATGTTAATGGTGATGAGAATTTAATAACACCTTTCTCATCTTGATTAGGTCCGAAACTTCGTATGCCAGATATTGTCAGTTTGTCGAAACAAGACATTTCAACCAAAGAAGGGCAATTCTTGCATAAATTCCACAATTGCTAAATTTAAAAAAATAATACCTTTAATCATAAATTGGTAGCTTAAGACAAACGTATTTTAAACCTTAAAGCCCGCCTCAAGATATTCAGAAAATGCGTTCAATATAATGAATATCCAGGGAGATAAAAATTAGAAAGAGGAAGCATGCCGCCCCAATACGGTTTCCATTTTTGTCAGTTCTATTGGTTCAATATTATGTCAATTACGATCTTCCTTATTCCAAAAAGTAGCTAATTACCTTCTTTCATTTTTCTAAACATGAATAATAGTACATTTCATATTATTCTAATTTCCTTGGCTATTACATAAAAAAATAGAATTATACAGGGTGTTTCGTAATTGTACGGCACTATTTTAGGTATGTGTTCACTAACACAAAATAAACGAAAAAGTTCATATTAACATGTATCTCAAACTCATTTATTAAACAGGTATCATAGGTTAAAGATTTATTATGTATTTACTACATTAAGACTGACTGTACAAAGTTTAACAAGTTTAATATTAAATAACCTGTTATTTAATCACCTGATAAACAAATGAACGATAAGCAATGGCAGTAGTTGCTAATCTGTTTGTTTTAATGTGAGTGAATACTGTGACACAGTTCAATTTATGATTATCATGGGAGACAATATAAATTTATTCACTTTTGCAGAACAAACAGACATGCTTTTAACTTATGGCGAGGTACATAGAAACGGTGCTGCTGCTGTTCTAAGATATCATGAAAAATTTCCTAACCGAAGAATACCAAATCGTAAAACGTTTGAGGCCATTGAAAGACGCCCTAGGAATAATGGCACGCTAAAACCTATACCAGTAAATGCCCGTCCACAAAGATTTCGAAGAATCAGAAGATTGCCACGTTTCAATGTTTCCTCAAATAGCGTATGGCGAACTTTACGCGAACAACAATTGTATCCACTTCACCTATCGAGCAGGCAAGATTTGTTATCACAAGATTATAACAAGCGCAGAAATTTATCCCAGTGGTTAATTCGATAATGCACACGAGATGCTAACTTCCTGAACTGTATTTTGGTTACTGATGAATCTTGCTTTACAAGAAACGGTGTTCTTAATTTTCGAAATAACCATACTTGGGATCAAGAAAACCCTCATACGACTGGTGTTAAACATTACCAACACACCTTTACTTTAAATATCTGGTGTGGTCTTCTAAGCGAAAACATCATCGGCTGCTTCTTTTTGCCATCTAGGCTGTCAGGTATATCGTACTTGCATTTTTTGCAAAATAAACTTCATGAACTCCTAGAAGATATTGCGCTAGGAATTAGAGAAAGGCTGTGGTTTATGCATGACGGTGATTCAGCTCACTTTTCTAACAGAGTCACTGATTATTGCAACTGATAAATACAATTTATGGAGACCGATGGGTTGGTCGAAAGGGACCTGTTAAATGGCCACCACGATCTTCGGATTTATCGCCATTAGATTATTTTGTGTGGGGCCGGATGAAGTTTATGGTGTATTCTGCGGCAGTTGGCACGTAAGAAGAGCTAAGGAATCGGATCGTTGAAGCCGCAGTAACTATCAAGCACCATCCTGATGCTATACGAAGGGCCAGAGAAGCATGGATTCGTCGTGCTGAATGTTGCATTCAACAAAACGAAGACTCCATTGAACATTTACTCTAAATGTTGTAATAATAAATAATAAATCTTTAACCTTGTTATCTGTTTAATAAATGAGTTTGAGATATATGTTAATATAAAGTTTTTTGTTTATTTTGTGTTCGTGAACACATACCTAAAATTGTTCCATGAAATTAGGAAACATCCTGCATATTAAAAATAACTTCCTACAACAATAAAAACACACATTTTGGTCACAACAGTCCTATTTTTTTTAATTTTATGCACCGACGTTTCAACCATTTATTGTTTCTATTGACTACATTGATTATAAATCAATATATCAATAATAATTTCCATAAAACTAAAAATTGATTATTTATCAACTATTTATTTCCAATTACATTGTTATGAGGATATATTGAAACGGAATATTTCTATAATATACTAATATTTTATTTACTCTATTATTTATTATTATTTCCTTTGACTCTCACTGGAGCACAGGGCATTCTCGAGTTATTTACATTTGTCTCTATCGGCAGCAATCCTGCTGCTTTATTCTATGATTTGTCAAGTCGGTCTAATTCCTTATCTGCGGACCTGCTCCAGGTTTCTCTTGGTCTGCTCTTCCTTCTTCTTCCTTGAGGGTTTCATTATAGGGCTGTATTTTCTATGGCCTACCCACTTCACCGTTGGAGGAGTTAACAAGCTGATTTCCACATAGATTCTCTATCTGGGCGTCACACTGGACAGAGTGTATACATCTATTCTGTGGAGTGCGGAAACCGGCTGAGATCGTATCTAACCAGCAGGTCTTAACCAATCCCAATCTAGAATCACAGCCCTGACAGGTCCTGTGATTCAGGAAGCACTTAACCGGTGCTCAAGGAGAGGGCCATCATCCAACCATCATAGCTTTCAACCGCTCGTCTATACACTAAACCAGATGACTGGCCTGAACTAAGTCATGACCAGCTGAACACTGGTGTTCTACAGCGAGGAGTCGCAAACACAAGACCACTATGACCGCCACAGCCGAGCAGTGCAAGCACTCTTGCCGTCCATCCAAAGCGCCGCCAGGGCTCTGGTGACGCCCCGTAGTACCAATTTAATCAGATAAGTTTTTCTTACCTGACCTCAGAGCACGATTGATCTCAGGCTCCGCGATCATCAAGACCGCTACTGCTTAATATCAATTGCCGATAGTGCAAGAAGGTGCCTGCACATCCGCAGTCGATGAGGGACGACTTGAACCGACGGCTCAAACCGAGAACCGTCCCCGCAGTCACAATGGACTGGCATCTTACCTTCTCCTGTCACGTCAGGCATATCTTCAAGCAGGCTAGACAGGTTTACCGGCTCTATCACCTATTGTCTTCGCCGCAGCTCTCATTGCGACTCAAGCTGATCTCAAGGATGAGATGCAACTTTAATCTGAATGTCAAAAAAGTTACCATACATATATAATATCTTAATTCTATTTCTATTTAATGCCATTATTTTCGCTCAAATTGATGATTACATTCAAGGTTTAGTTAAGATTCAGCCTGCATTATATCATCATTATAGGACTAGAGCAGTGCATTCGTGACCAAATCTTGTGGTTGAGAATTCAAGGATTTTCTATCTGAAAAATTGGTACTTTACTAAATATATCGCATACAACTATGCAGCGAGTGTTAAACAGACACAGTGAATTAAAATGATTGGTGGACAGTCTTTGTTCAGACTGTCCAAGAAAATTGGATAGAATTCATATGAGATTTATTCTGAACCAGATGCGTCTAATCCCTGCACATGTGTAATATCCTAAGCTAGTGGACTTGAAAGATATTACGAGGTATGCGTGAATCCAGAAACTGTAAGGAATGTTCTGAGAAAGAAAGTTTTTGATGGACGAATTGCAAACAGCCAAACAAGTAAGAAGAAGAAAGGTTGGCGTTTGCCATGGAGTAAGCCAATAAGTCAGAAAGTTTCTGGGATTTTATGATCTTCTCAGATGAATCCAAAGTCAACCATTTTGTACCAGATGACAGGTGTCGTGCCTGGAGAAAAGACAAAGAAGCACTTATTTCAAAGAATTTGTAACCGACCTTCAAGCCTGGATGTGGAAATGTAATGGTATGGGGTCGTATGAGTGCTTTAGTAGTTGAAAATCTCGTTTTTATTCATAAACTTATGGACCAGCGTGTATTCCTAAACATTCTAAAGAACAATTAAAAAAGTTCTGCTGAAAAACTTGGACTTATGCCGGACTCATTTTTCAACATGATAACGATCTTAAACACCACCAAGAAAGTAAAACGATGGTTAATCGACAATGTTCCAAAATAGTTATACACTCCTCCTCAATCACCAGACATGAGCCCAGTAGAACATTTGTGGCATGAATTAGGACGGCGAGTGAAAAATCATGGTGTTAGAATAGAAGAATATCTCAAAGCAGCTCTTTTGGTAGAATGGAATACAGTTAGCATAATGATATGAGAAGGCAATGATCGGGGTGCGGTCAAATAAATACTACATTTTTAAAAAATAGTATTTTTAATTGTTTCGCCGATGTTTCGACCCACCTTGCAAGTCTTCATCAGGTTGTTGCATCAGGCACTGGAAGAAGCAGTTAATAATGTTAGCATAATGATGATTTAAAGTAGGCTGAACCTTAACTTAACCTTGAATGTAGTGTTGAGATAATAAATTTGAGTGAAATAATGACTTTGAACAGAAATAAAATTAGTATATCATAGGTGTATGGAAACTTTTTCGACATTCAGATTAAAGTTGTAAACTCTTCCTGTTATGGGATTAGTGATCCAGCATGAACTTATTATCATGTTAATACAACTTTGCCGTTACTACCCTTCCTGGTTAATAAAAGTAATATAATAAGTAAATTTTTAGAAATATTAAAGAAAAAACGTACTGTATAGAAATTTTTTTGAGGGAGTGCATAGGTATATTATATTGTATGCAATTGTTGAAAAATAAAATGGAGGAACAGAAAAAAACAACAAATCTTTTTGTCAAATTATTAATTAATAGCCATATAAAACTTCTTAAAGGGCTACATTTTATCGTAACCTATAAATTTTTTATCTTCGAAATTTTTTAAAAACGGGACATTTTCTCATTTAATTATTTCAGCTAATTCGATAGGAAGAACTCGTGAATAAATATTTGTTTTCCACTTAAATGGTAAGATAATTTGGTCAGAATATCAAGAAATAATAGGACTAAATGTATCTTTTTGGAGATCACACTTGGAGAGCCTAATATTTTTGTAGACTACTTTTTTTCCCGATTTTGTGATCAAATTATCTAGCGAGTCAAGTGAAAAGCAAATGTATGTTCATGCTTTTTTGTACCATATTGAAGAGACAAAGTTTACTGGTCTCCAAAATGAAAACGCTCCATTTCCGAGAATTTTCGTAAATAAAAAAGTAGTAGGTGGCGAGAACATGAAGTTTCAGAAGGATTTCAATAAAAAGGGTTCTGTGTAGCGGCCTAGTACCATTCCTAATATTTCTTTTTTGGAAGGACTCCTTCCTTTTTACTTGGAGGGGTGCATCCTTGGAACTGCTGACCTTGAGGGCGATCTCGGAAGCACTTGAAAAGAGATTCGTCTTACCATATTTTCTTTATCATTGTTTCTTTAAAAAAATAAATTATTTCATAAATTGATTTTTAATTTATATTATTTATATATATGTATATATATATCACTACACTAATGCTTAACTTATCGATTCTTTATTAATTGCATCAAAAATATATATTTTTTTAATCTAGTCTCCAGTTTAGACACTAGTCATATCAAAATGGGAGGTATCATGAAGTAAAGTTAAGTAATTCAAGAAAGTCTCTATTAATAGTCTCATTTGTTTTCAAAATTGTATGTGGTGAAATGGGTATATTTTCTTACAGTTCACCATTTGATAATGATGTTGGTAAGTCTATCTATTAATTAATTATTTTCGTTTATGGTTAGTTATTTGTTCTTCCTGAGAAGACCATTAATTTAGTTAATTGGCTTTACTGTAATATTGATGGGATCCAAAATAACAAATGTTACCGTTAAGCTTAATTAATCTCTCATTTACCTATAAACTGTTTTTATTTAGAAAAAGCGACTAGTGAAAACAATACTTCTGAGGAATGGGGAGTGATAATGGAAATATGTGATAAGGTTGGTTCTTCATCTGTCACATCTGCCAAAGACTGTTTAAGGTCAATCGTGAAACGTCTTCATAGTCCTGATCCCCATGTAGTTTTGCAAGCTGTCACTGTAAGTTTCCAAAAAAAAAAAAAAGAAAATCATATCTTTTATGTATTTACCACATCAAACTTTTAATTAATCAGGTACAACTTCACATGTATTACTCCAACATTTTGGGTCTACAGAAGATTACGTGATCATACTGATCATGGATTGCCAAAGCGAGCCTTCCCAGTGTATCTGTCTTTTGACTGATTTGGTTAGGTTATATTTTTAACAAATATAAGAGAATAAGACCCAATTAATTGTCCTGAAGTTATAAATAAAATTTAATCATTTATGCTATGAAATATTAAAATTATTTATATTAAGATATATATAAATCATCTATTACAAATCTTTTAGCAGTTAGGTACATTCAGACACCAAATAGTTAAATATAATTTGATGTATTTTGAGAAGTATTAATTAAATAATTTGAAATATGTTAGTGAATTGAGGGCAGGTTATTTTAACATGCGGATACCGATGAGATGCTTTATTAGAATCTTAGTAATGATTATAACAAGAAAATTAATATGTGTGGTACTTGTTAATAGTGTGTTAAGTACAATTTTGTGAATTTTTATGGATATCATAGGAAAGCTAATTTTTCTCTCTTTCTATCGTATCTAATGGACTAAATTATGCCGCTGTTACAGTGATGAATATTCCTTAGTTTATCATTGGTTGAAATTCGAAAATTGAACTTGCACCTGTGAAAATACCAAATTTTCAATTGAGTTTTTTTGAAAATATGATATTTGCACTTGACACACTATTCACAGATAAGTTTGTAAACCTCTTCTTGTTTAATGAAGACAACAGATAAACATTGTATTATCAGAAATTTATTTTTTTAATCATCATTTTATTTGGTTCTTGTTCACGAGAGTTCCGCACGGATTAAGCGTGGTTCACAATCACTTCAATTACACTTGTATATGGAATCCCGAAAACAGCCGAATGTTGTCATCTTTTATGACATCAGCTATTACCCCATTGCATAATCTCTTTTCATGCATTTTTGATAAAAAAAACAACAAAAAAAACGTATTCCCTTCATGATACTTCCTTATTAACAATTTATTAACGAATTGTGTATTTACTAATTTGTTAATAATTAATTTTTATTATAACTGTTATTACTGTGAAAGAAAAAGAAAAAATATATAATATAATGTTTTGAGTCGTTATTTCAAGGCCTGTTAAAAAAAAAATGCTTTTAGAAATAACATTTTTATTGACATGTGATTACATGCAGTAGCTGTAAATATGCATATACTGTTGTATATTAGTTTTTATAACTGTTTTTAAAAGATTTTTTTATCAGTGGATAAATCTGAAGTTTTCTATTATCTTTTTATTTATTATTGGAGTTTCTGCCAAACAATTCTTCCAAACTGGTTACACTATTACTGGTTTTTCCCTCTGGAGCCAGGATCACATCTCCTATCCTCTCTTCACTGCAGTCTCACAACAACTACTTGCCAAAACAAAAACCTTTGTCCCTCTCCTCTTTGGGATTTTCCCTCTTGGAAACTACAGAGAAGCCATGTTCTTTTCCCTGCACTGGTAGAACTAGATTAGCTTGCCTTTTAACTGTTCAACATTAATTTATTAAATAATTTTTACCCACTTCTAATAAAGGTTTATATTACAATATATAGATTCAGACAAGTTCGATTCAGATTTCATGATGTGTAGCCTAAATTTCAAATGTAAGTCGGCTCCTGCTATATAACTGAACGTTATAGCAGTACCTAAATGGCAGGAAAGTTAATAGTAGCTGATTCAAAAGACCGGTCGCCTTCGTTCTCTTTTGGAAAACCCCGAACGCATTTGACACTCCATGAACAAGTGTGACCAAAGTGATTGTGAACCATGCGTAATCCGTGCGGAACTCTTGTGAACTAGTACCTTTTATTTATTAATTTTGTTGGTGCATTATTTGTTTTATTTATTGATCTTTAGGTACTATTTTAACTTCTGATTTATTTCTTCACGTTAAATCTGCAAATATGCTATTTTAATTGAATTTTCGACTTCACAGTTATTGTCATTCAAAATTAGTATACTCAATAATCCTAAAAAGTATTTACAGGGTGTAGTGATTATTGTCTGTCATAAACTTAGAAGTGGGGAGTGGGGTAGCTCAGTGGTAGGGCACTGAGCTTCCAATGCAAAGGTCCCAGGTTCGAACCCCGGCTCATGGCAGAAAATTTATTTATCTGTTTCATTGGCCGTGGGGCGACCCTGGGTTGGAAGCCCCTCCTGGGGCACACCCAGCCTGTATAAAAGTGGGTACCCTTAATTAAATAATTAATTAAGGGGAAAAACCTGGCGGTTGAGCGTGATCTCGGTCAAATCACCTCCTTGCACAACCGTTGACCTAGAAACAGTACTTTCCCTAAATAGTACTGAACCCCAGATCCTTCATGGGTTGTAGTGGTACAGGTTTTTTTAAACTTAGAAGTGGCTCATTTGACATTCACAGAGTGTATAAACAATCCCTCAAGTTCCTATCAATTTAAGTTGAAGCCTTACCATGGTTTGGTCACCACCATTTACTATCGGACATACTGCTATTTTCAGGATTCTATTTATAGTGTGAACATAAGATATTTTGGCACCCATCAAAATGGAACAACACTTGTACTATAGTACAACACTACAATGCGCTTACACATATATTTAATAATAAATAAATTTAATCTTTCAATATTTAAATTTGGTTAAACTATGTTAGAGCATGTCTGGATGACATTTGGGTCAAGATCACATCAATCTCACTGTTTATGGAATGTGGAAATTAGCTGAGTGTGTCCTTAAGTATATGGAGATGATCTATCTCTAAAACTCCTTTATAAATATAAATAACTGTGTAAATGTACTTATCTCTACTGTTAAGATTTATGTCACATACCGACTTAAGAACTAAATACAATTTTTATGTATCCGACCATCAATAATCACAACTTTAATTTGAATAACTTTAATTCAAAAAAGTTTAAGTTTAAGTAGTACCCAAAGTCTGACTTATCAATTTATCAACCAAAATTATTTAAACAACAGAAAATAAAAAACAAAATTATAAAATTTCGTGCATTTTTTTAAAATGTGGAATTATACAAGTGTGCTTAACTAATATTGGGTGGATCCATAACTTTGTTCGGTTTTTGTTAGTATTGCGAATTGATTTCAAATATCTCCAGTTCTCTTGGTCTTATATGACAATAATGATACCTATCAGAAAAGTCAAAGTCTGTTCTTCAAAATTTTTGTGCTTGGTTTCATTAGCATTAATTTTGTTTGTGCTACAGCGTAGTGAACATACCAAATGATAAAGTGCATTTCCGGCTTATTTTGCTTTTTATTTCAAAAAAGATATGTGTGCTTCAGAGGCCCACCTAAAGATATGTAATATGGGAATGGCAACTATACCTTAACAGAATGTACTGTTCAAAAATTGTTTGCCAAGTTTCATTCTTGAGATGCGAGTCTCAAAGATGCATCCCATAGTGGTTGGCCCATCAATGGATATTAAGGCTCTACTCGAACAAGACCTGTAACTACATATGAGAAATTGTGAAGACACTGAAAATAGGTTTTGTAACTGTTTTTTAAGGTTTTGTAACTGTTTTTTTAAGGTTTTGTAAAGCATTTTAAACAGCTTGGCTACGTGTGATGATGCCACACAAATTGACTGAGGCAAACCTGGCCAACTGAATATCAATCTGCAACTCTCTTCTGAACCTGGTGATAGAAATGGATCATCTACGACAATGTAGTGAGCGGGAGATCATGGACAACTGCTGACAAGCCGCCTAATGTCATCCTGAAGGCCAATCTACATTCAAGAAAAAATGTTGCTCTTCATAGGGTGGGATTATCGCTGTATACTGTTTTATGAGTTCTTTCCACAAAGAAAACGATTGATTCAATAATCTACTGCACACACCTAATGAAATTGTACCAAATATTGCATTAGCAACACAGAATTAGCCAATCGCAAAGGTGTTGTACTCTACCATGACAATGTCAGTCCACACTCCTCAATAATCACATAGCAAAAGTTAGTGTACCTTTGCTGGGATGGTTTATTATACTCACCGTATTCTCCAGTATCTTCCGACTACCACTTATTCCGATCCCTCCAAAACTCCCAAATGGAAATCAATGGAAATCGTTCGCTAATGAGGGAGATGTGAAAACGTATCTCTATCAGCTACCCCAGAGGTTTTATGAGAGCAGATTAATGAAATTGTTAGAAAGATGGCAAGAGGTCATTAATAAAAAGGCGAATGCATTATTAAATAAGATGTATTATTCGTTTGACAAAATAAAGTTTCTTTCACCCTTCTAAAAACAAACGAACTCATGGATCTACCCAATAGTTGTTACTGAAATCTTTTCTCATTTCTTTCCACTCATTAATATTATATTACTGGCTATTTACATATTTATGTCTTAGAATTACCAGTTTTATTTTCTTACACTTATTATTAAAATTTTTTTTAATACATAAATTACATTTTACTATGTGGATTCTTGGTTGCGTTTATTATATTTCTAGATCAATTTATTTGGGCCTGATCCATGTAGTTTTTTGTGTCAGAAATGTAACTTAACATAACTTGTCAACAGACAGATGTGTTTGGCTTGCTTCGGCATTTTATGAAATATGATCATGTGGTTTTAGGTGCTCCTGTTATTCATATATGATACTACTAGTCTGGGTTCAGACATCTTTTTATCAAATTATTAACATCGGCCTGAAACTTCATAAATAACTTCATCTCATTCATCTAAAATTATTTTATTTACAAAAACTTTTGGAATTGGGGCATTGACCAATATATCCTTGTTATTTTGACTGCATTCAAGGGGTGTAGGTTACGCCAAATGGCCCAATATTTTTGTAGGTCACCTTTTTTATCGATTTTGTGATCAAATTATCCAATTATCAAATGAATTTTTAGCACCTAATTAAATAGACAACCTAGAAGTTTGCCAACCTCCGTATTGAAAATGCCCAAATTCCATGAATTTTCATAAATAAAATAGTGTAGGTTATGATGAGATAAAGCTATTAAAGAAGTTTCAGGCAGATGTTAATAATTTGATAGAAGAGGTCTGTATCATGAAATATACTTTAGTCTTTCCATTTATTGGTGTACCTTAATTGCTTCCTTATTTTTCATTATCAGATCAATTGAGCCTTAAAAAGATTTTCTGAAGACCTATTTCTTTTAACAAAATTTTAACACAATATTTTATTATATTTTCTTAAAAAAAAAAAAAAATATATATTTATATATATATATATATATTTTACTTTAAATACTTTTTCAGTTAATTATTTTATTATTTTGATTAAATTTGGTATTACTTCATAAGTTTTTGTACTACTTCATCAGCGCTTTATACAGATTTCTGATGGGCCATGAGCACATTATTTACAATGCTACAATTGCTTACAATTTAGAATGCTAAAAGTATATGGAGGCAACCCAACTCCAGACCTTAAGAGTTAAATTCCCTGCCATTTAAGGAAATTAAATAATATTTGTCTTCACCATGTTCACTTTTCTTATTATTGAATTTAAATAACATTGAGTGAACTGTGTTACATTATGTTTGGGTTATACTAACACTTTATCTTAAAATATATAAACACAAACTAAACCATAAACTTCTGTTTTTAACAGAATATCTGCCAAAATAATACAACCTAAAAAGTATCCAAGAGCTAGCAAGGTTTTTTATTAAGTGATAAAGAAGAAGGTTTGACTTGTGGATATGGAAGATCTTATCATTTTCATATAGAAAATTTTAATTTTTTGATTGCTAAAAAAATTGTGTCATCAACTTTATTTCCCCTCCCTCTCCTCCCAAAAAAAAATTTACTCTAGATATAGTGTATCTAAGTTAAATTTCAGTGTAGGGGAAGAGAACTCGTGCAGCTTTCTCCCCCTCAAGTTCCACCTACCCAAAATCTCTCTCCAGCTCCACTTCTCCTCTTCACCATAGCAACCACCTTATACCGGGAAAGCGTTATTCCATTTTCTTCAAATTTCGCACAAATGTTTATTAAAGTTAGGGATTTTAATTTTAAAACATAATAAAACAATGAAAAGGATCGTTATATAATCAAAATGAGAAAAAAAAAATATATGAATTCGCAAAGTCTAATGTTTACAGAATTTGATGTTTTTACAAGGATCTGTAGATCTAAATTTATCAAGAAATAGATCGTAAAAAAATCAAGAAATAGATGGAAAATATAGAACAAAAAATAATCCGATACTATATTATTGGATATTCAATTATAGGGAGGCCTTTTTCATGCACTTCTGAATGTAAACAAAGAGAATTTTCCACATTATGTATTATTTTAGACTGTACTTTATTAGCTTGAATCAAATGAATCGCGGTATGTCAAAACAGCCAATCTTCCTGTGAATCAATGTAGGAAATAGGAAAAGAAATGGAAAAAAAAAAAAATGATGAAAGAAATTTCTACTTGTAAACAAAAGTTTAGAAGTACATTTGGTTGAGTAGAGAAGACAAAATAGTGGAGGATAGGCGGGAAAATGTTTTGCCACTGCATCTCTCTCTCCCCCTCTACCCACCCTCAAACTTATCTTAGAGTCTACCAGACAGATTTAAAATAAATGTATTTGGCAGATAGCTACAATATGGGCACAATTTGGACCAACCAACGTAGAATAGTGGGAGTAAATATTTTTTTAGGAGGAAACAAAGTTGATATTCGTTTTCGCACCTCAAAAAATCTTTAAATATGAATTTTTATATCAATTGAAAATAGGTATCAATGTGGGTTGGAAGTGCAGTAATTCAGCTTTCCAATGATTGTACTAACATTGAATTTTGAGAAAATCCCAAGAAGTTATGTATGCTTTAGTTATCAAGCAGAACTAAGAAAATCGTGTATTAAATTTTGAAATTTTCGATTTCTATAAAAATTTTTATTTAAGATTTTCATTACATGCTTAAAACGAATCTAACTTTCTTTTACTTAACAAATATTTTCTTGGTCTTCTTTACTGGAAGTGTCTTTTGGTTTTTGAAATTTATGATGCATTATATTGTTTTTTTTTTGTAAATACCCCTCTATATAACAAACTATTTACATTTACTGAATTATTCATTTATATGAATGTCAACACTTATTAATCCTTTTCCAAACGATAATGTTTGTTTACCTCTGTAGCATTTTGCCGCTTAGAAATAATTCAGTCTCTACTAAGATGTCAATGCATGATTTTCATATAATTTTGTTTAACGGGTTTAAACTCGGCCGGAATGGGGCCCATAAAGCCAGAAACATCAATCAAGTCTGGAGCGAGAGCAACATGTATGAGTTCAATGGTGGTTAAAAAAATTTCATGAGGTGGACTTTCAGCCTTGAAGACAAAGAAGGTCGTGGAAGGACTTCCTCTCTTGATGACGATATTCTGCGGGCTTTGGTGTAGGAAAACCCCAAAACAACTGTTCAAGAACTTGCAGGGAAACTTAATCTTAGCAAATATACTGTCTATGAACACCTCAAGGCGATTGGAAAGATATAACAGCTTGAAAGTTGGGTTCCAAACACATTAAACTTTTTTAGACCATAAAAAAAAACAAGCATTATGAAGTTTGTTCTACACTTCTTTGCCAGAACATAGACGACCATTTTCTGTCCAGCATTATTATTTGTGATGAAAAGTGGATACTTTTCAACAGTGGACTATGGCTCGACAAAGGAGAAGCAGCAAAACATTTTCCAAAGCCCCAACTCATCAAAAAAAGATTATGATTACTGTTTGGTGGGCTTCATTTGGTTTGATACACTACAGCTTATTAAATTCTGGAGATCGATTTTGAATCGTATTGTAACCAAATTAATGCAATGCATTAGAAATTGACAATATCTTGAGAAAATCGGAAGGGGCACATTTTATTGCTTGACAATGCTCGGGAATTAGACTAAGGTAATTAGAAAATGCATTTTTGGAGTTTATCAGTTCTAAAGATGGGAAATTCTATTCCGAGGAAATGGAAAAGTTGTCAACATGGCAAAAATGTATTGATTGTTGAGACTATTTTGATCAAATAAAACAGTTGTAAGTCTTTCTTTTTGAATCAAAATCCTGCATCATTTTTCAGACAATCCAATAACTCATTTAATACAATAGTCAATATTTTTTTCTTTTCTAAAAAAAATAAATTAAAAAATCGATTGTTATATATAATAACCAAAAATTTCGGGCAAAGCAAAGGCTAATATAAATTTTATTTAAAAAAAATTGTCTCAGCTTCTAGGGCCCATTGGAACAAACGCCTTGGACATGTGTCCAATATTTTTGGATGCAGTATCACCAAAAAAAAAATTTAGTTGAACTGGGTTACCCACTGACTGTAGCCTTTCCTTGTAAGTGGTATGATCTTCCATATTCACTAGTCAAACCATCTGCTGTTAAAGAGGTATTGCTATCTTCCAAACTAAATAGGAGCCCCATAATGAGCTTTTGGTAAATAAAATAAAATAAAAAAATCAGTTGTTTAAAAGAAAAAATCTCTAGTAATTAAGACAAAGAAGCGAATGAAATATAAAAAAGTAAATAATAACCAACAGAAAGTTTCTCTGGTTGATATTAAAGAAAATGTAAGGATTAATGTTGTTTTAGAGAATAAATATTTTTAATGAACAAAATTCAATAGTAAAGAAAGTATTGTTGAGAAAATACATTTATAAATAAATTTTATTAGCAAGATTCTACTCTTCTATTATTCTATAAGAATAAAAATTGGATAAACCATTATAAATATAATTATCTCGAGTTAATGAAAACAAATAAATTGAAAATCAACTTATAAATGATGGAAAACCTAAAAAAGTAAAAGTTGTTTATTGAGTTGCAAGTTATACTGAATTAATTGAATCATTTTTTCCAAAAGATTTAAAACAGGGATGGAGTAATGAAGTAGTACACAAGTTTTAATTTACTTTAATATAATTTTAAAGGTTATTGACTCTTCTGTCTTGTTGAGATTATGTTATCAATCTTATTGTTTTCTTGTTCAGTTGCTAGATGCTTGTGTCAATAACTGTGGCAAAACTTTTCAATTAGAAGTAGCTTCTCGTGACTTCGATAATGAGCTGAAGAAGTTGGTTGCTAAATGGCAATGTGGTGATAAAGTTGGAGACCGAATCAGAAATCTTATCAAGAAATGGTCTGATGCTGAATTCAAAGCTGATGCCCAATTAAGTTTAATGACCTCTCTTTATTCTCGTCTTAGGCAAGAAGGTATTGATTTCAGCACTCAGTCAGAGCCTCTGCCCAAGGTACTTCTTACAACCATTTATATTTTTGTTTATATTAATAATTTTATTTTGCAAATACCTACCCTCAGATTTGCACTCCTGAAATGTATCCTGACTGCATATTGAATTAGCTTGGGAATTCATTATTTTCTATATGATCTGACATGATAAAGGCTTAGAAATACAGAAGACAATCTGACCTGGCGATCTGTATCTATTGCTTTATCTCTGTCACATTCAACATGATCTTTCACTGTGAAGCATATAAAGAGATCGTAAATTGTGTTCTGTGTTTGCGAGATTTTTATCCTGTCTATTCTCTCTACTCCAATCCATTCATCAGAAGTTGTATCTTAATTTTTTTTTGTTTACTCATGACTTCCATTGAAGTGGTATTCAGCCCACACTAGCTTAATTTACTATCTGATCAAGATTTATTTATTATATTATTTGTTTAATAAAACATTTAATCAATAGTTTATCTTAAAGCTGATCTATTAATGAGAATTAAGACATAAACACTAGAGATTGCTGAACTGATTTAAAGAACTACCTTTATAAAAGTGGTTAGTGACTAAACTAAAAAGAATAGCACCTCCCTAAATAAAATCTTGAACCATTTTAGATACAAAATTTTAAATTTAACTTGTATCACTTTATGAATGAAATTATCTTTATTGAAATGTTGATGGTGAAATAGAGAGATTAATTATTTGTCATAAGTTTGATTTTTTATAAATTAATGAGTGAACTTATTTTTATTTTGTAATATATAATGTTAAATGAGAAAACGGAGGCATGAGTTATGAAATATCACTAAGAACCACAGCAGTTGTACATATCCAATTCCTTACCTATAGGACCATAGTAGTTATATGAATAAATGAAAAATAATTTTATTCTGAGATTAAAGCCAAAGAATAACGACAGGGTTAAAAAATTATGTAAATTGGTCTGGCATGAAGAAATAAATAAAAAAAAGTAGCACATATCAATTAACAAGATATTTTAATTATTGTAACTAATAATTCTTACATAGTTGTGGAAATTTGAATATGAAGTCAGTGGTGAAATAGTAGTTGTTTGAAGAACTTTGTGGATAAGGATTGACATTTGGAGATGTTTAAGGAGTTCCAAAAGGAAGTAGCAGAAATGACGTATTTTCTGAAAAAGTGGTTTTATTGGGGGGAATATATAAAGCTTTAGGTTGAGATCTGGTATTAAGGGAATAGATAGAGAAATGTTAAGTTTAATGTTCTAGGATGTAGGATATTTTGTTCTTGAATTGTTGGGTGTTTTTGGTTCTGAGGAAGTGGGGGAGGGGAAAAGTGGGAGGTAAATACCAAGAAGAAATTACTGCCAGGAAGTAGGATATCTGATGGCTAGTAAAATCCATAGAGAAAGATTAACAAAGATTAGTGTCACAGTAATGACTCTCACATTAGATGACTGGCTATTCTTTTCCCTAATGCAGTCAACCCATAAGCAACATCGTCCAAACATGTTTATTCATATATATACAATATAGTATTATCAAGATAGTCGATTGAACACACACAAATGGTGAAGTTTCATACTTTATCACGACTGTTAAACTAACAATTTATTTCATAAGTGGTAAGCTTATCTCATCAGAAAATATCAAACCAGTTTAATAATAAGGCAGTGAAATAGAGCTATCCCCGAACTGATACTAATCTATTGCTGTTCTCCCTCAAGAACAATTTGTTTGGTGGAGAAGAGCCATTGTTTCTACTTGTCTCACTTATTAAGAAAACAGAGGTCTATTACTGCGAGAATGGAAACTAAAACAATCCTTCCTGTATAGGGTAAATTATATTAAAAAAAAAGTGTAAATTATTACTCCTAACATCAGTGTCAGTAGTCTTTTGCTAACACAAGTCGGCATTAGATTAAAATTTTTGATCTTTCATGGACATGCAGAGGTATACTTAGATAACTTGCAATTATGAAAAAATAGACTTCTAGACAATTAATAAAAGTGTAAGGAGGCCCTCACTAGACAATTAATAAAAGTGTAAGGAGGCCCTCAGTTAAAATTGGCCCAAAGCAATTATTACCCATGCGTCAGCCCTGAGTTTGTGTATTCTTAACAAAAATATACTTTTTGTCATTTGTTGAAACTTTAAATAGTTTATTTATTATTTATTACATTGTTATATTTATTTCTTGTAACAATCTGAATTGATATTGTTTTAGGCTCAAAAGTCTACTGATCCAGATAGCGTATCATCTCAACAAGAAGTTGATGATATTGCCAAAGGTACATTTGATACTTTTTTTTAATAATGGAATATATTTCTGTTTTAGAATACTCCATACAGATAAATACTCAATTTATGTATAAAAAACGATAATTTATAATAATTTAATTGTTTTTTAGCTATTGAATTAAGTTTAAAGGAATCAAATTCTCCAAAATTTAATGGCTCAGCGGTTACAACTGGACTCTATCCATCTGTAGGAGCTATTGGTGGTGGTGGAAGCAGCGCAGTTGAAGCAAAAAAAGTTAAAGCTCTTTATGATTTTGAAGCTGCTGAAGATAACGAACTCACATTTTTCGCTGGTGAAATCAGTAAGTTTAAGCTTGTTTTTTCCTTATTCTTTTGTTAAATTTTACACAAGAAATAAAAAATTAAAATTAATATTAGTTTTGTTTTTTTATTTTTAAGCACAGGTTGCTTATGGTCATTTCAATTAGTAGAGAATTTCTAAGACTTAACTACATACATTTATATGTTTTAGAAAATATTTCTTATGTTGTTATGTTGACTGTTGAAGTCTTCCTTATATCCACATAAATTGTTTTATAGCTATATCAGCCTAAATGTAAATCAGGAGACCATGTTAGAAGGAAAACATTACTAGGAAAACATAATGATATTTTTTACTTTCTACCATAATCTACAGTGTACACTTACAGTTTCTACTTCTACAGTGATTATACATTAAATACAGACATTTTGAAGTAAAAAATGAAAACATTTTGAAAGCTCCAGCTCAATAAGTATTGATTTTACAAATGAAAGCCAAAAAACTTACAAGCCAGTAACGATCTCACATTGTTTTTCGAACTTCAAAAATCTCTAATGTTCAAATGACCAAAACTCTGAAATTACTAATTTAATCATTGTAGATTATTTTTATTAAATCTGGGTAGTGTTTATTCATTTTATGAATTATATTATATGAATTATATTTAAATAATAATTTAAAACAGAATTGTTAAACCACAATATGTTTTTAATATTTAAATTTAATAATAATTGTGCTTAAATGATGGCATCTATATGATAATATATAATTTATTTTTTCTTTATAGTTCATGTATTAGATGACTCAGATGCTAACTGGTGGAAAGGATATAATAAACGAGGGGAAGGCTTGTTTCCAGCAAACTTTGTCACTTCTAATTTATCAGAGGCACCAGGTAGATATAGTAGTTTTTTTGTTATTTATATCTTACTATTTATTAATGTTTTTTGGAATTTTCATTTTCTGATTTATTTTTTTGTCTTTCTAGTTCCAGAAAAAAAGGGTGTCCAGTTTAACGAAAGTGTTGAAGTAAAACCAATGCCTGTTACTGAAATAGATGAAGAAAAAATAGATCGAGTACTGCAACTATTACATGACGCTGATCCCCAAAGTGACCATAGGGACAGTGATGAAATGAGGGCTTTAGAGGATGAAGTTACTCGAATGGGACCATTAATTGATGCTGAGCTGGAAAGAGTCGATAGGTAATTTTTTATTTATATATTGAGGGAAGAGATGGTTCAGACTGGGGGTCATAGATAATTTCAGATCGTATATATCGATTGATTTATTGTTCCTTCTCCTCCATATGTCAAGGTTCTCATCCTAGATTACTCCAGTTATTATGCGAAGGACTTTTTTTTTTAAGGAAGCTCTTGATTCTGCTTTCTTGGGTAGCGGTTAGAGCCCAGGTGTCAGAGATATATAACAGAACTGGTCTAATCACGGCGTTTTACACACTTAATTTGAGATTTACTGAGATTTTTTGGGATATCAGTACCCTTGTGAGATAGAGAAGAGAGCTCTGTTTGGGCTTGTTATATGATGGTCTGTCTGTGTTGATCATTTATTGAAGTTATCGAGGAGCTAAGGTATTTGAATCTTTCTACTTTTGGGAATGTGAAAGGTTCGCCTGACATCTCTATGAAAGTAAATGAAATTATTTCGTAATGACCCCAGGATTCATGAAACTTAAAACATATTTCTAGAAACTGTTGATTTTCCATTTATTCTTTTATTAAAATTAAAACAAATTGGTTGACAAGCGTTTGTGTAAGGATATCACCAAGTACAATTCATAAAAAGAGATTTGATTCTAGTAACGGATAAGTATATGACAAATATATATATCACAATAAGCCACCAGGATTACCTTAGAATTAGAATGTGTTCTAGCAGTACTAAAAGATTTTTCAGGTGGAGGGCAGTAAGAGGACCTTTGGAAAAATAAGTGTTCAACCAATTATATTTTTTTCTATGCAATTAATTTTAGTTATTGTCTTGTGTTAGTTTTACTTACTTCACTGACACCAATGTGCTAGTTTTACTCCTAGGTTTTGCTTTGATTAAGTTAAATGTATAGATATGATTAACAAAAATTTACTATGAAATAGATTGTTTCAGTTCCATAATTTTAAAGGAATATGTGTTGATATTTTTGTCTCGATTTTGTAATAGTGTCCATGAAAATAACTAATTACAATATAAGTGAATTAAAATGGGGAAAAAGTTGGAAATTGATGGTTAAATGTTTGCACATATAAAACTAAAAAATATTGAATTCAACCAAAAAAATAAAATAATAATAAGAAAGAAGTATATGATTCACAAAGAACATTTCAATTTCATCAAAATCATTAATAAATGTTACTAAAGTTTGACTAATTATACATTACAGGTATAAATAAATAATTTAAATAACTCATATATTGGTAAATATACTGACAACAATAGATATATAATAATCAAAATAACAAAAAAATAAATGTCTCAATTTTCGTGAAGGCAATATTTACGATACAGATGACAATATTGCATTATTAATGCAATAAACAATTTTTTTAATTATTAAAAAAATATATAAAATGGCATTGAGAACATAACAATAAAGCTCAGAGAAAAAAAAGACTGAAATAACAAATTAAACAATAATTTATATATATGTATATATATTTTAGTGAAAATAATTAGTTATATAAAATTATCGATTAAAGATTCCCAAACCGTTCTATTTTCAGTATAAGCTTCACCACTATATTGGAACTGCTGTTGTTTTATTCTTAATGTTGTGTTTTTATCAACTTCTGGTTATAAATATTACATTCATCCTACATCTATTGTTATTTACAATCGTCTATTGCTTCCATACTTGAAAGTATTACTTCTAACTCCTGAGATAATATAGGGAAACATTATTTCCAAACTCCATAGCTTCTCTCTACAATGTTGTTTGTTCGAATCAAAGGTATGTTGAATAGTTCCAGAGTTTTTGACATAGGCTTTGTTAACTATATTAAGAGATAATTTTTTGAGGGGCTTTCGGGCTGAAGCCCCCCCTCCAAAATGGTAAAATATAACCATGTTTTACAGAAAAAAATATTAAAAACGATTTCTTAAAGTATTCTTGTTCGAGTAATTACATTTAATAGGACTTCAAGAACCACTTAAACACCGTTTCATATAGGTAGTTAATTTCTTTCTTTTTTTTTCTAATTAATTATCGTTATATGTTTATGAAAAAAAAAATCTTGCGGGGTGAAGCCTCCCCCAAAATTAAATCCTGGATCCGCTAGTGCATCTTGAGTACTTTCAGGCCACTGAACAACAATTTTTCGTATTTTTATGTTAGCACCACTAATTCTTTTGATATTAGCGGAGAAACATCCTTTCCAATAATGAAAAAACATTGTTTGGTCACCACCTGCAAAATATAAAAATTAATTTTTGGGGTATTGTTGAGAATCTTAAATTAATTGTTAATCACTGATCATGTATGATGTGGTTCATCAAAATAATCTATATTCTTTCATCTACTTCCACTTTATCTTTGGTAAAGATAGTTATTTAATTTAAAATTGAAGTTCTTACAAATTTTCAATATATTATTGATGATTAATTTGGTCTATTATTAGTTATATTCTCTCATTTGTAAATGTTTGTAGTTTTTAAAATTTAAAGAGGTTGTTGAATCATATGAGTATAGTTGAATCATACTAAATGAGTATTTTGTTCCAGCTTACTGTTCTAGAAATAGTAGGTTATATCCAATACTTTTTCTCAGCCTTGTTATGTTCCTTTATCTGTTCCAGAAATACTAACTAATATCTAATATTATTTTCCCTTCTATTCCAGAAGTACTAGCTTAGACCTGAACCAGTTTATCCACTAGTACTGCGTACTGCTCCAAGTTGTGACAAAACAAGTATGATCTTCCTTACCTATGTTTCACCAACCCAGCATTTTCTCATTTTTTCCATGCTGCTGAGAATTTCATTGGATACCTTCTTCATTTCGATTCATGATCATTAGTCAGTCACGAATTAAAATTTATAAAAGAAATCAAATTCAATGACAAAATTAATTTAAGAAATTAAATTTACTTAATTTTAAATAATTGATTATGAAATTCATAATCAGCATCCTAAAAAATATAATAAAAATTTTTTCAGAATGTTAAGTTAAGGGGTTTCTACTTAAATGATGCCTATATTTTTTGGAACAGGATTGCTTATGCTTGTTACTGAAAAATACTCTTTTTTGTTATATCTACACCATACAGTTCTTTAGAGCAAAAGAGGAGATTTATAAGGCAGTATTTAGTAGGGTTTTTGCTCTGTTTCTCATTTCTTTAATAAATTAAAAATGTAATTGACTGTGTCCTTTCTCTAGAATTGTCATCTTCTTCCCAGTTATTAGCAAAAAGTTGTTGGTGTTACTAGGATTTGGCAGCAGCTTTTGAAACTTCAACTAGAGTATCATCTGATCAAGGCGACTTTTTTTATATTTTAACTATGTACGGGTAATATTTTAATCGTGTTCTTACCAAGGCTTGGCTTAATTCCATGTTTGGTACTTGGTTTTCTTCATCATGATTTAATAAAAAAAAATTTACTTTTATCTTGTTTGTCAGATAGATGCAATTACTAATATCATTAATTTATGATAAAAATTATATTTATATTAAATTACCGTTTGTTGTGTTTTTAGGAAGCATGCCCAGTTAACAACTTTAAGTAGTGGCCTAGTTGATGCGCTTAATCTATATCACGGATTAATGAGGGAACCCAAGCCTCAGTGGTTTCCACCGCCTCCAGAATTCATGTATCAGCAAGCTCCGCCTCATCATGTTTATCCTCAACCTCCACCCCATCATCCTCCTCCACCTTTTCATCATCCCCATTCACAACCATGAGCTTTTATTGTCTTCTAAAAGAAACTATACTGTTCATCTTCAAAGATTATATAGTGTTATTTATGTGCTTTATTGCATTGCCTGTATACATATCGAACTTGTTTTAACATGTAATGATATTAATTAACAGAATACAACACCTTTCAAGCCTCAATGTTTTGTATAATTCAGAAGTTTTATCTTTATTTTGTCTTTTCTCCCCTTATGAAATCATCAGTGACTTTCCTTTTTCAATTTTTAACGACATATTATTACAAATTACTTGTTATTTTAAATTAATAGAATAATTCATCCTCTGTTATTTAAATACTAAGTTTGTGCTCTACATTCCTCTAAACAGCTATAGTTGTTATATTATTAAAGTTATTCCTATGTTTTATCATCAATTTTTATATACATTTATGTTATTATTAAAATATATTTATTATTTTACCTTGATTTAATTTTTAAAATAGCTTTGTGAATATTTGTACAGAATTAATATAAATATAAGTATGTTTATCTTACACACACATATATATACATATACATATATATGTATATGTATACACACACACGTATGTATGAAATGTTAATGATTGTTGTAAAAGTACTGTGTTTATTGATGTATAATTTTATATTCGACTATTTTAGAAAATAATAAATTGTTATTTGGTTATATACGTTTTTCTTTATATCTAATGGTAATTGTTTAGATCTTGAAAAATTAGTATGAGCAGGCCTGTCATTTTTTTTTTTTTAATTTAATGTATATACCTTCCTATTGAGTTCCCTTTTGATTAACTTTTATCAACTGAAATTTATTTTCCTTGTTAACCATTGTTAACAAGATCTATTGGCCTAATAAACTTATGTTTTTGTATATCTCATGTTCCTTGTTTGTTTACCCATAATCATTTACTTTTTCAGAGCCGTATAGTTTATTGTCATTATCCAGTACCTAAATTAATATTTCTGTCACATTTATTGCTTTAAACAATTTTTTTTTTCCTTACCCCTGCCTCACCATTTCTGGCGTATTGGTTGGTCTAGAGGTACAACCGAACCTATTCTAACCAATGTGGGAAGGTCAAGATTCATTCTGTTGGTTCAACATGATTTGAATTTCAACCCAACCAAGCTGGATTTGAACTGGTACCACTATAGGTCAATTACATCTTTGTTTCAGAAGTTGTCTGATCTAGTTGCAGTAATACTTTGTAATAGTAATTTTAAGATCTATAATGTTTGTGTAAAATGTTTCCTGCTGATATCTGAGGTACTCCTTTTTTTTTTTTTTATCATTAACCAAGTTTTTCTTAAATTATTGGCTCTTGAACTTTATACACTTATTATGTATTAGTGGTTAATGTTTTTAGTTTTAAAGATGCTGGTTTATTTAATATGGTCTTTGACCACATCATGTTAAGTGCATTTTTTGATATTCTGATCTTTTTTTTTTTCAAATGATCTGATAAAGATCAATTGCATTTTATAAATATACCTAAGTATATTTATATTTATTTTTATAAAGCCAAACTAATGTACATATTTCTTGGAGCTTGTCATTATTCTTAGGGAACTATATTCCAGAATAAAAATATTTTTTATTTCAAGTATTTCAAACGGTCCACTATTTCAATTGACTTTCCATAAAACCTCTGTAATTTCCTATCCGATTTGCATTTTTGCTTTTGACATATTACTGATTTTGATTTCACAAAATAAATTACTGAATTACATATTTTACTATAAATCTATAATCTATTACTTTGATCTATAATATTTCACAGTAATTATTGGCTCAACCATGATCTTCCAAAGATAGTTTCCCTCCACTGAATCATAAGCTGCTTTAAAAATCAAATTAGGTATGCACTTCTTGAGCTCATTCCAGTCGTTTTTCAAACACTTGCCATGCACTCTAATATAATTTCATAGAATGGAAATGGTAGCTAGAAGGAGTGATTTGCCTCTTAAAGTTCCGAGCTTCTACAATTAGGAAACAAGAAATGTTTTCAGCTCAAGAAGCAAATTAAACTTTACATGTTCAAAAAATGTTAAGGTAATATAATGGATTGAATGAAATGTAGAATACATTATGGAAAATTCTATTTCTAAACATCCTGATAACAATGTAACTATATATCTATCTTTGTGGCTCTACAACCCTCAGTGGGCTTCAATGAGCTTGTGTTAGATTTCTCTGTTTTGTGTGGCCACTTCCAATTTCTAACTCCCAGCAGGTCTTATGTCATCTGCTCATCTCAATTTCAGTCAATGCTGAATTTAGGGCATTATAATACCCTCTTTTAGGGTAGTATAATGACTCTTCAAGTACTCTTATTGAGATTTCAGATGTCTGGATCCGGATTATGTGTCCAACTTAACCTTATAAATTTAATTATTCTGACCACATTAGGTTCCTTAAACAATTCATAGACCTCTCTTTTATTCTGAATAAAGACATAACAATGTCTGTACACTGTACACTGTAATGTACACTGTAAATAAATAATTAATTTTTTCTTTTATGGATATTATTATTAGCTCATCGACATATTGATTACCTTTGCCTATATTGGGACATATTGTTGCCTATATAAATAAACTTGAGGGTAACTAAAATAAATAACATCTTAGACTCAGACATACCTAGGTAAGTTATTTACTATCAGCCAAAAGCACTCCAAACTAGGTTTGTCCATTTATCTGTGGAGGGAAATCCAGGACTAAAGGGATCCCAGCAGGACTCTCTCAAGCACAATGTATGCAAAATATGACTTGCTTTGACAAGTTTTAAAGCCAAAAAAACAACTAAGGTTTGTGCTTTATACCACACGATATAAGTAAAAACATTAACGAGACGAGATTAATGATATAAAATATAAATTATAAATATTGGCTCATTATAAAGAGGATGAAATCCTGAACAATTCCCTTGCTTACAGTATGCAGGATGCTATGCATCCGAATTTTAGGTTCTAAAATATTTTGATTTATAGCTTCAATAAAACTCGTTATAATTTGGTTTTCGACACTGTTTTTTTCCTTTTTTTCCTCTATAACACGGCGTTAAGTATCTGAAGATCATAAAACAGTATCTGATATAAATAAATATCTGATCCATAAAACAATTAGCTCTCTACCAGAACACTTTCTAATATTCAATGATGGTCCTAAATAGGACATACCAACAGCATCCGCCTTCGTCACATCTGATGCTTTGTTCCATATATACCGCTGAGATTAATGCTATCGCGATGGCTCTACGACCTGTGATAAATTCGCCAGTTGAAAATATGGTTGTGGTATCAGATTCTTTGAGTGCCCTTAAAGCCATGAACAACATGTACCTAGACCACCTAAGAATATATACCATTTTGGGGCTCATAAAACAGTAACATTGGAGCATTAGTACATTTTTTGTGGTCCCCTGGTCATGTAGTCATTGGTGAGAATGAAATGGCTGACAGAGCAGAGGAAGAAGTTTTTATCATAAAATCTTTCAGGATGTTGTAAAGCCTTTTTAACTGCGTCTGAACTTGCGCGACCTCTTATAGAGGCCATACACCAAGATTGGCAGACACTATGGGAAAACAGCCATCCAAATAAATTAAAGGTGATAAAAAAGGAAGTGAAGCCATGGAGCAGTTCTAGTCTCAATAAACGCAGAGAGGAAGTTGTCCTTACGCGACTTTGTCGGAAGTGTGGAGAGAGAATAATAGTGGCCCATATCTTCGAGAGTTGTGGCTTTTACTTCAGAGAATTAAACATGAGAGGAATACCACCAAAAACACGGGCTGCTTTGGGAAATGATGAAAAATTCTTAGGCGAAATCATGTTTTCTCTCTGGAGAAGGAATCTTAAAAAATCTCTGAATCTCTCACGTAGCAGTCCCCACCTCTTTTTATTTACCTTTTACCCTTTTGTTTTCCTCTTTTACCTAACGTGCTAACTTTAAACGTAAAATTTTAATAACCTTAAACAACTTGAACCTTAATGTGCATTTTACATCTTTTTAATTTTATCCAATTCTTAATATTCACAACCAAAAGATATAATAATAAATAATTTTAATTAATTTTGTTGATGACTAAGAGGTTTTACGCCTTAACTATACAACAACCAACCGTCGGAAGAAAATCAACGAGGTCAAAGGTTACATAACTTTGGAACTATCCTATGAGGTACTTCGATATCTTTGGTACTTGAGGTAAAGTGATTTTATAACCGTCCGTAGGTTATAGTTTGTTGAGTCGGGATGCTGTCATTTGGTGGTATTACTATTTTAGTATTCTCAATTTTTAACTCGATTCACATTTAGTTTATTTCATAAATATATATTTGTATATACATATTCTTATGGCTTTACAATGTCGAAGTAAATAATTTCAATTAAAATCCTATGAGGTACGAAATGTGGTTAGTTTATTCTCCTAAATATTTTATTTATGAAAATACCTGACATCGTTAGATAATGGGCAAGTACGTATTAAACTGTTTTCATTGATTTGTAAAATATGTTATTTTTTAAACATTGGATGTTGGACAGCAGATAGTATTCTTCTTAGAGCAGAATCATGAAATCAAATATATTTCGTCCTGTTACTTATCATTTATACAGTTATATTAATTTTAGTTATATGAGATTAAATAACTATTAAAACTATGCATGATATTAGTCAATGAAAATTTGTTATGTATTTTTAGGGTATTAAGCCTGGAAACATTATTAATATACATAATGTTTATTCTGAAATTAATGCTATTTGAATATATAAATTGTATTATTGTAACTTATTTTTTCCTTGCCTTTAGTTAGTGAATGGTTAGTTTTGTTATCAGTTTTTGTTATACATTAAATACATTAGATATTAATCATAAATTCCAGTTAATAGATATAAAATATATTGACAACAATAACAATGTCATAAGCATGTGTTATAATTAAAGGTTTTAGTATCTGTTTGAATTTATTTGTGTTGGGGACTATTCATTTAAGTTAATATTTTATTAAGTTTTTTTGGTCTAATGGCGAATTAATGTGAGTTGATAACATTTTTTAAAACTGTTATTCATTTATTATAAAGGCCTAAGTTTCTACCATATTTTTTAATAATATCTTGTTTTAAGTTTTGCATTTAGTTATTTTGTGATAACTTTCTACTATACTTCAAGTGTCAAATGAATTTTGTACGGTTTTGTTTGCTTTGTCACTTTTGGAGAAATTTTGCTTGATTAATTTCTATATTTATATTGGGTCATGTTTTATGGATTCAATTTAACACTCGTCTGCCATAAATTAAATATCTCATTTATTGTCTGTGATAGTTCAGAGGTAGAGTGAGCTCCGAAACTCAGTGTTGTGCTCATCATTAATATTGTTTTGTCCTGTTTAGAGATGGATCTGATGCCATCGATCCATCATGCTGAATTTAGGAACTTGCCTATATGTCATTTCCCAGTCCATGATATCTTAGTTACCATACTACTTTTTAAAGATTTTAGATGTAAGAAAGATATTTCAACTAATTTTTGCTGAGCTTAGTGAATCTATTTGCATTAATTTTATGTATAGATTTTACTACTAGCGATATTAGTAGTTTTGCGTTGATGAAAAGTAGTTGTCTGAAAAGATGTGGTTTTGGAGTTATGTTTTTAAAATATTAAAATAGTTTTTAAAAATAACAGTTAATAGATTTATGTTTAAAAACATTAATCAACATGAACGATATTTGTCTTATTACCTATATGGTTTGTTAACTTTTCATACAAACTATGTAGATAACTTTTTTATGAAAACTTGTGTTCATTTCTGTCTGAAATCAATTTTAAAATGTTGGTTGGATTATTGTATTTTTAATATTGCTGTTATACTTGTAATGTTTATTTTATATTATTGTAGAGTTATAACCAAAGGTATTTCCTATTTTTAAATTCAGTATAATTATGAACTTTCTGAGTAAATTCATAAACCTCTATCTCCGAACCCATGTAAGGCCTTGGGATAAGTACTTGATTATGAAAAAAAACTGTTTCTTGTTCAACTGTTATAGTAAAAGATTATATATCTTATATAACAGAAAATAAATTTTCTGTTCGAGTCATCTTGAACGTGAACTTGAGAGTTTAGTGTGAGTGTGAAGTGCCTTTTCACTGAAGTATGGATCTAACTACTACTGAACTTGGATCCAAGTTCTGTGGAGGAGCTAAGTATATTTCAATATTAGACAAGATTGCTCTATCAGTATTTAACAGTAAAATAAATGTATCCAATATGTATTTAAATGTGTTCAAGCCCTGCTTGAACTCAATATCTTTAGGGGCTTTGGAGTTAGATGCCTAAGCTTCGCAAGGAGGATGGATATCGTCACAAGGTATCTACTTGGTGTCAGAAACTGGTAAGCACTAGCAAGTTACAGAATTGCGATCTTTGCTGGGATAGGCTTTGACTCAACAACTGGATTGTAATATACTGTTGTGAAAAGGCAAAATTGGCTTACTGATGTGATATGTAGTATTAAACAGTTATAAAAAAATAAATAATGTATATATATATATATATATATATATATATATATATATATATATTGGGAGCTCATAACAAACTCAGTAGTAATAAGAATGTCTATTAGCTTAAAAATGTGTAACAGTCAAATTTAACAATTAAATATTCATAATAAAATGAGACACAGTGTACACAGAATAAAAAAACAATCTGAATTGTTAGATTAAATAAGTGACCAGTTTTAGTAAATCTTACTATTTTCCTGTTTTCTGTTTTTGTGTAGTTTCCAGTATGTTGTATTTTCACAAGACCGATCATTAATCGGTTAAAATTTTACCATTATTTCTTTTATTTTAATGATTTTTGTATATTAATTAAGTTTTCTTTTTTTCATTAATAACAAAAATTAGATGAAAATTAATGATAATTTATATGATGATCATTCAGTTTTTAAAGTTGTTCTAATTATAGCCATTATTTATTATTTCAGACATAAAGAATGGAGGAAAGTAGCCAAAAAAATGAGAAGAAAGAAAATAAGGTCAGAATTAGCACAGCAAAGAGATGAATTAGAAATAGAAGGTATATTTTTAATTTATCTTAATTAAATTTTAGACAGTAGTGAGAGGGGAGTTAGTGGGTGGTTGTGGATGGATGAGTATACTCAGTTATGAAAGTATAAACTCTTAAACCTATCTTAAATACTTAATGTCAGTTTCGTACGACTTTTCATTTTTGAGCTAGACTATTCACAAACGCATGCATGCATCCCTCCCCTCCCCCTCCCTCACAGACACACACTCACTTGCAGACCCGCAAGCACACTCACATATGCACACTCACACCGCGGGACTTGGTTATGTGGAGTACCTCAAAAAAATGTGTTTCCGTTGAAAACTCAGATTCGAAAATTTTCGTGATCGCAATACTTTCCATTGCTATATATTACATACATTAGTAAGTGAAAGTAAAAATATGATGTATTTTATACTGAAAATTCCTACTACACATTAACTGTTCATCAATTCTAACTTTGATAACTATCAAATCTTTTTATTGATGTTATCATTGTATTTTCTTCATTTTAATACTCGTTTGTTAAATTGATGCTTTATTGGAAATAAAGACAATTGAAAAATGTGCTTAAGAAAACAATGGTATTTGTGGCATTGTGGACACAATGGACTTAATTTATTTTTGGGTTTTACATTTATTCAAATGTAAAACTTCTAAATTTGAGGATTACTTTTTTTTTATGGTCAGTTACAATGATTTATTATAGGAAATAAGAATTAAAAATGAAAAAGTTCATTTGGCAACAGGAAAAAATTATTAAAAATTCTCAGACTATATTATCACAAAAGTATGCTTTAATTTCCATCTGCAGACATATTTGGAGGTGCAGATGTTCCTTATCATTCAGCAAAACTGTTAAACTTGGTAGTAATGTTTCTTATAATCCTATTTATGCTTCCTAAGTTGTAATCAACTAATCTCCATTGGTGAGGGGTGAGAGGAGTATACTATGTATGTGAGTAATTTTTGGGGAGTTCTGAATTATATATAATTTAAAAAAATATATATTCACATGTTATATTTTAGGAAACCTGTCCACTTTTATTAATTTTATGATGTCAAACTTGATTATTCAACAACTGTTTGTTCTTTTTATTACAGAAGAAGAAAAAAGAAAAATGTCTCCAACTTATGAGAAACTTATTGCTGAAGAAAAATCTCTATTGATTGCTGCAGAAGAAGCTGAAATGAAAGAGTTAGAAGAGAAATTAAGAAAATGGCAAGAAGAGGAAGAACGTGTTAAAGAAGAAACCATGCTCAGAGAAGTAAGCCTTGCTTCTCTTTATGGTTTTGTTTAATCAAATTAGTGCTGATATTTCTTGTTATTATTTTATTTTTTTATATCAATTCCATTGTTTAGTATTGACCATTGTTTACATAGGAGACTCTAATGTTTTGTATACTAAAAAGAATCTGCAAACCATTCTTCTTTGTAAGAAGAGTGATTTACATATTGCATAGATGGCGCTTCAATTCAACCTTAAAAATAATTAAAATTTATTGTAATTACAGAAAAGCAATAGTTAAATTAGGTATGGCTATTTACACGAACGACATTAAAAAAGTGATCGCAAGTGATAATGAATATTTCTTTGCCAACGATTCTCTTTTTATCACTTACTATAAAAATTTCAGAGAGCTGTAGAAAAATCTCAAAAATATTATAATTTTTTAAATGATAAGGGTCTTACAGTAAAGAAATATGAAACCAAAATTATGTTGCAAATATCATCTAATATGGTTCCTGTAGATGATCCTGAAATTAAACCCCTCGATTATTCATGTTTCACCTGCTACAATAATAAAAAATCATGTTCCTGTAAAATCTTAAATGTCAATGAAAAACTAATATTATATATTACACATAAATATTTGTGTTACGTTCGACAAAATCTCTTGGGAATCCCATGTAGCAAGTGTGTTGGGTAAATTACATGTATGGTCTTACAAAAGTTGTCTCCAGTTTTCGTTAAATAGGAATACCTTAATAATAGTGTAAAAGCATTGATTTTGCGAGAATTGATATACAAATGATTGCTTTGGAGCTTGTGTGGAACATTATTATCAAACATTTGTAATTTACAGGGTAGAAGATTGAAAATGATTACCCAAATTAGTAGTAAAGCAGAAAATCTTCAAATATTTCCAACAGTAACATCTAATGTATTTTATTTGTTTACTTGCATCATCACTAGAGCACCCTGCCATGGCTATTTGTCAGTTCTATTAATATAGAACTTTAAGAATTTGAATTAATAATTTGTACTAGTAAACGCGTGGGAATAAGTCGCGCAGTATATTCGTCAGTGATCAAATGACAAATTAATTAGAAAATAAAACAATGTAATACATGGAGAAATCTATTCTTTATTATATCATTAATTATAATCGATAAAGTTAATAAAGGATATTAATTTAAAACTTCTTTCGTGTTTTACATGTTGACCTGTTCACAAATTTCAATAAAGTGTACCTATGCTAATAATAGTCCGATTTCATTTTGTAGGGAATTAAGTAATCTTTTAAATAATCATTCTCTGAATTCTGAATCCAACGGTACCCCATTCATGGCATTTGAGCATGATAATGGGGATAGTAGTGTTGTGTTGATCTTGTTACCATAGAAACCTTCTCACTGAATTCTAGATTTTTTTTTCCCCTGCCATTCACTAGAGCATTCATAACTCTTTAGGATTTGATCATAATTCAGTGTTGCTACAGCCTTTGGAAAACTGAATTGTTATTCTTAAAAACGATATCAATAACTTAGATTTTACACCTTAAAAAGAATAAATAAATAAAACTCCTCAAAGATTTTATTTTACCTTGTCCTGTCATAAATATTGTTACAAGGAAAAATATACAGAATTAATTAATTTAAAATTAATTTTTTCCTAAATTTTATTAGAAAATAAAATGTATATCTATAGAGAGTAAAACAAAAACTGACATTTTCTAAATGTCTTCTTAGATATACTATACCAATCCTAATTCATTCATTTGAATCAGAAACAAAATAAAGTAAATAAAAAAATAACTTGACTTATCATGTGAAAATTATTTATTTATTTAATTTTTGAAAATCTGAAGGAGACTGTGCAGATCTTGATTTCTACGACCAGTTCAATTAAGTTAATTGATCAAAGTTTCATGAATGTACAAATTTGTTATTGTTTATTTTATCTATTTTTCTGGTACTATAATACAGATATATTGGTAAGTGAAAGCAAAAAATCATGAAATTATCTCAAGCTTGAATGGCATATTTATTATTGAATTGAAAATTAATAGCATTGAAAAAAAGTAATAAATGATCATTAATAGTTGTTTTATAATGATTTTAAACTTTCAGACCTTATTAAAAGAACTGGAAGAAAAAAAGGAAAAGGCAAGAATTGAAAAAATTGAAGTAGAAAAACAACTGTTAGAAGAGGAGGTAGAAAAAAAGGTATAGTTTTCTAAACATAAAGCTATTTCTATTGAAAACAATATGATAGTGAATATAAATTAGTATTAACAAGAAAGGTTGCCTCCTATTTAAGGAAGGAATTTTAAATAACCAATGATTTTTGTGAACTTGTCGAGTTATTCTATCTCGTTGGCACATTGTACTGCCTCAGTCTCTCTATTTACCAGTATAGTTGCTGCCACTGTGTAAATGAGTTAGGGCATCTTGTCCCTACATGGTTTTATTTATTTAGTTTGTTTCATGATCGTTAGCCTTCAGTCGTCTGGCAGATGAACTGCCTCGGGTAGATCCTATTTATCTCCTAGCATGCTATGTGTCAACCCAGCTCTTGTCTTGTCCACTAGATGTCTAAATAACAGGAATTTATCTATTGATGAACTCTAGTTAGTATAGTTACTATTAAACTGAATTATTGGTGTCCTTTTGTTTCTTTGACAGCTGGCAAATATTTTCAACTCACAATACAAGTTTCATATAACACCATCGTTGTAATAGTGTTAAACATTTTAAGTTTTTTTGCCTACAAACTATGATTTGCCTACAGCATTAGTTTTTTTTTCCATTTAAAGAAAACTGCTGCAGAATTGCATTAAATGCTTGTTGAACCTTAGGGTCATCATGCTATTGGTAAATAACAGTGCATTAAGTGGTTTTAAGAATTCAAAAGTGACAATGTCAACATGAGAAATAAACGTGAATGTGGTCTGTTATGAGCTGTTAAAACATGACAAAATCGTTTTTGCTATAGACAACATATGATCGATTAAAATCAAGCATTGTGTAAAAAACGACCAGAATATCAAAAAAGAGAGGTGATTTTGCTTCATGATACGCACCATCAATCACACCAAAACCGGTGAAGGAGACAATTGATGGGGCACGGACTTTCTCAGCTCAGCAGCACTTCGCTTCCCATGAAATACAAAAATGGCTTGATGACTGGTTTGCCAAAAAAGAGCAACAGTTTTTCCTGTGAATTTTAGTTTTTTAATTTAATTTTTCCCTCATAAATTGCCAGGGAGATGGGAATGCAACTTATTTTATATAATAGATCAAAATCCATAATGTAAATAATTTCCATTATAATCACCAATATAATGTGGGTGCATGAGCAAGTGGAAACTTTTTTTATATAATTGATAATAATCCATAATGTAATAATTTCCAATATAATGTGAGTCAATGAGCAGGTGGCAACTTCTTTTATATAATAGTTAATAATCCATAATAATAATAACATAATAATTTCCTATACAATAGATTTTATTTAATGTTTTATTTGATTCTGTTATAGTTGACAGTTTTACACTTTTTAGTTGAAACAAAGTTTTATTTTGCATTTTAGAAGAGGATGGCAGATTGTTTGCAACATTTTGCCTCTGGTGTAATTAATGTTCTTCCTGATGATATGCTTGTTCCATTAGAAAGTCAACCTGGAAAAGAAAAATGCCTTTTTTTTCACAAGGTCGCTGCATGCAAATTTTGGGATGCTTGCTCAAGGTAATTTAGTCTAATTATAAAATATTAAGATTATTTGTTATTGGAATTTAAATATTTTTTTGTTCTTATTATGAAAACAATATATAAAAAATATATTTGTAATTTTTAGTGCTAGTTTGATATTCAAATGTGAATAATTGAGATTAAAATTATTTTTCTGATTACTTTTAGAAATCATGTAAGACCTGCTGTCAGTAAAGTTCTTCTCTTTCCTGGATTCTATACACATTTTTCAATGTCTCTGCTTGTACAATCTGAATATGATACTGACATGTCCTTAGAATTTGATGAAAAAGAAACCTATTCACATTTTGAGTAAGTAATTGACACTTTATTTTATTTTTTTGTAATTTTAGATAAGAACCCACCTAGATGAGAGTTTTATTTTGAGCGTTTATACATTTTAAAAGTTCGTTTTCTCAAATGTTTTCTGTTGAATACTTATCTTTAAAAATAAATTAATGCTGAGGGACCATTTGGTGTTGAAGCTAATTACATTTTGAATTTTTTTTGTTATTTAATAATATTGAACCAAATAAAAAAAAAAAAAATAAAAAAAAAAAAAAAAATAAATAAAAAATAAAAAAAAAAAAATAAAAAAAAAATAAAAAAGCAATCTAATTTCCTCCCTGCCCTCCCCATGCATTGCATGTTTAAATAAAATATCACTGAAAATCAGCATCCATGATTTAAACTTGCTATAAGATTTTTGATATCAGAGTAACATTGTAATGTTCACGTATATAGTAATATTTGGTTTGGTTATATATAGTGCTCTAGATTTTCTATCAGATGATTATCACATTTATTGAATACCTTGATATAGGGATGAATTACAAGGTTTTCGAGTATGCTAATGCCAAATTTATGATTGAACATGTATATTTTTAATTAATAATACTATTAAAGGGTTATTTGGTATATGGGTCATTTATTTGGTTGAATAAAAGGAGTAGCTCTCTTCCAATGCTCTAAAGATGATGCATTTTGGCTTTGCTTCATTCTTCTATAAAGACCATATATACAAACAGCAAGCACATCTCAACTGCCTCTGTTGGCTCAGATTTATTCAGTTTGAATGAAGGCAATCAGAGCCAATGAACCAGTTGGCCGTAATGCACTTCCACACTAAGTAAAGTAAGCAACAGATTGGTTAATTAATTTTAATCATAGCCAACAAATAGGTGGAGAATTTGGTGGGAAGCGTTTAAGAGTTACTGTTAGGTTCTTGTTCTTTATTAAATTAAGTGCAAGAAAATAAGTATTTTTCATATTGTCTATTGTGAATGAAGTAGAAAGAGTCTGTGATACTTGCAATGATGTTGATATGATCTTTTTATTTATTTTTTTATACTATGTACTGATTTTAAATTTAATAAATTATATTTTCCAATTAATTAATTCTCCCTACCAAAATCTTATCTCGGGCATGAAAAGTAATTTATAAAACATTTATAATACACAGTGTGGTGTGAATTGAAAGGTTGAAAAAATATCAAAGAAAACTATCAAGATTTTTTTTTTTTAATACTATAATTTGGATAAGCGAAAAAAGTAATTTATCTAAATAAAAGTAAATCTAAATCAATGTCAAATGATGATATAATGTAATGTACAAGAATGTTAGATAATTTTAAGCTATTTAAGATTTAATATAACCATTATTTATCTATGTCACCTTAAAAAAGGAGATTTTTTATCAAGACATATTTAGCATAAACCAAAAAAAGTTTGAAATTTCAATGGTTTTTGGAGCACTGAATTGAACTTACAAGGCTTTCAAGGGCGGAAACTTGGAATTTTTATATTCTCTATATACCTGACAATATATAAAAAAAAAATTTGAACTAACCGAACTTTTACAAGGTAACATCTTTATTTGACTGGGCTAAGATAAGAAGCTTTTAAAATTGCCATTGTATTACCATCCATAAATTGTATACTTTTCGAGTTATGCTTGAATACACTTTTTTATTTTCTTCATAAAATACATTTTATCATAAAGTACATGATAAATTGATATCTTAATTTTTATTAATGTAATTTGATTTCTTCTTATTTTATAATTTTTAGGGAATTTTATCAAGATATAAGAAGTGAATTTGAAAAGTATGGCCGTCTTACAAATTTGGTGGTATGCTGTAATCGTGAACTTCATTTAAGAGGAAATGTTTATGTCTCTTTTTCTACAGAAAAGGAGGCAATGACTGCATTTCTTAAGTTTAATGGAAGATATTATGCTGGAAGAGTAATTTCCTGCCATTTTGTGAATATACCATCGTGGAAAAGTGCTGTTTGTGGTAAGAAATCAAAATTATAGTAAAAAGATTTGAAATGCTCTTATTTTTTTTAAAAAACCTGCTTATAGTTAAGATTATCCAATTTTTGTATTAATGATAAAGTCATTTATTTGTACCCTTAATAGAGGTGGCAGGTTGTGGAAGTTATCAGTTTTATGATATTACAGTCTACAGAATATTACAGATGATCATTTGATCTCCTGTACTTAATGATTCATTATTATTTTTGAGTCATATTTATTATAATCTTCCAAGATGGCAAGTTTTCATATGATAAATAGTTAATATTTTGTTGCTGTAGTGTATGAGTGAATAGTTTCAATGAATTTATTTTGTTACTAAGTGCAGCGATTTTATATGCCCATTTCATTTGCTTCAATGTAATCGTTTCTATTAAATTAATCATATACAGTTCACGCAATGCAATGTTGTGTAACTACTTAAATCCTTCGGTTGTCTCATCCTTTTTTGTCCGAATATTCTACGCTATACTTTATTTTCAAAAACCTAGAGATGTTGCTCATCCTTTAATAAGCATCCATAAAGAACCGTAGGAAGGATATAACTTTTGAAAGAGTTTGATGATTGAATATGGGAAAAAAAAAGAAAAATACATATCCAGGCCAAAAATAAATATCCGGAAATAATAGTCAAAGGTATACGCATAATATACCGTTGGAAGTGGAGAATTTTAGAAAAAAGAATATCTAGTATAGAAATTATAAGAGCCCCTGAGTCCGCAAAACACTGTTTAGCCTGTTGTTTTGAAACGTGAATAAATCCCCTTCAAAACTATATACAAATCGTTCATTTCAGACAAATATTAACAAAGTTACAGTTATTCACTTTCCAATGTAAGATTATGGGTTCATATTCTGGTGTCAGAAAGCGGTGAATGAGAGAAAAAGATAACTAAGTGATATTAAGAAAATAAGTTGCCCGCATCACACCAGCTTCACTATTACCTCTACTTTTAACAGAAATTATTGTTTGACAAAATTAGGCTATGGTAAAAAGTTTTTGTTGAGAAATATTAGAGAGTATTGAAAAATTTTCTGAAAAAGGTAAGAAAATCGTGTGAGTGGACACACCAGATTTGTTTTTACCATATTTAAGTTTTGTTCGACTTAAAATATTCATTATTCAATGTTCATGATAGTTAATCTGTTAATAAATATTTGTGAATATTGTGATGGAAGATTATTATTGCAGTTCCATCAGTGTTTTTCCTTCCTTATTTTAGGTAGCAGGGAATTTTAATTAAGATAGGGAAGGGAAGTGTGAGGGAGCCTGACTGACTGACTCTTGTATATACCTTGTATAGTGCGTTATGTATGTTAACATTAAAACTGCTTAATAGAATAAACAAAGAAACTATATACTTCCAGTCTATTAACTTTTTTGTGTAATATCTATTTATTGTATTTTGTTTTATTTTCAGGATTATATTTTAAACAGAAGTGCCCTAAAGGAGATGCTTGCAATTTTTTACATGTATTTAAGAATCCAGGTCCTCCTTTTTACAAAGTTAATGAAGACAGGTAAGGGCATTTAAAGCTCTATATATTATAGAATTATTTCTACTAGTAGTTGACTACTAATTTTTTAAATCATATTTTTATTTCCATTTTTCTAATTTTGTTATACATTTTAAAGCATGTTGGATAAGTAAAAGACTTTAAAGTAAAATACTTCAGTGGATTTGAAAGTTAAAGGAAAAAATTGGATAACTTTGTTTGCACCCATCTGTAGGTGATTCAGAACTACACTAGCAGTTTAATTGTTCTGTTAGTGATGATTGGGTATTATAAAGCAGTGACATACAATTCCCAAAAATTCTTCCTCAGTGCTGCCAAATTATTGTACTACCACAAGACTATAACAAGGAAAAAAAAAGTTTCTGTTAGTGATAAACATTCATACTCATGGTCCTTTGTAGGTTACCTACCAGATTAGAATATTTGGATGACCAACACATTTAAAGTTTTAAAGTTAAATATTTTTTGTTTATTTCCTCAGTAGGAGTAGTAAACTGTTTTTATAATGCTATTTTACTAAATGAAGTCTGTATTTCAATTTTGGCTAGAGTACTATATCTTAATGTTGGGGACTCGGCAGAATGGAAAGTAATTTTTCTCCTGAGTGTTTGAGACAGAAAGTTTCATCATTTGAATAGTTTAATTTTGAACAGTGTCCCATAAATGAGTAGCTTAACCATGCAACATCGCATTTCGGTATAGACGCCATGTTTCATTGTCTTTTTGAACGCTTCTCATATTTGCTGTCGCACCTCATTTTTGTCTTATTTTGAATTGCCTTAGGTCCTATATTTTTGTGCTCTATCTTTTAAAAGGCTTCCTCCAGAGGAGCTTGTGATATCCCAATAATTGTGGTGTTCTGCATACACTACGTGTCGGATTTTCAACTTTTTATTAATTTATAATATGTTTTCTATTTTTATCTATTATTATTTTGGGGCCCTTCGTCTTATTTGATGGCGGTCGCGTTACCCTCATAAACACAAAATTGCCTGTGTGGATTAACCCCAAATAAACAGCAAGTGCCCTCACTTTGTCCCTATCACCTCCACCCATCCAGAGGGCATGGCGCTTTGTTCCTGGGCCCAGAGTGATCACTATTAACAGCCCATCGGCTATATCTGCCTGAAGGAAATGGCATCACTGACTTAGAGGAGAACAGCTTAAGAAAGCAACCAGTGGTATCATATAAGAGATAAGATATTATTATTCATAATATGAGATCAGACTTCTTTATTTTTATATTTCATACGTACGTTACAACAATATCCACAACCTTATCTGGGTTAAAAGATTAATGAATTAAGAATAACAGCTAACAGCATAAATTGTTTAGTATTTCCTAACAAAACTTTTTACAAACCTAACAATAGCTTTAAAACTATTCTTTTATTCAAGAAAAGTTCTCCCGGTCATATGGCTTATACCAGGATTTGTACCAGTCAAGTAAATATTGTATTACCATTGTCCAGTCCTGTCCTGCTGACAATTCTGTGAAGTACTTAATTAAATAATAGTAATGGTGCCTTTGCATAACTCTTTCTTAGCCCTTTGTGTTCACCAAATGAGCCGCTACTCTTCCTGCTCTTCTGGGCTTGGCAAACATTCTTACAAAAACCTGCTTGGTAGTCACCAACTATGCTTTGCATGCAGGGTAATCAGCCTTTTATATAGTATATTAGGGAAGATCTTATATACAATGTTCAGGAGAATGGTTCCTCTGGAGTTGATGCATTCTATGGACACGAGCATGCCTGTATTTTTTTTTTTTTTTTTTTTGCAGACTGTCGTAGCTAAGAAACTTGGTTGTTATTTTACCCATTTTCAGGGCTTCTCACATTCCAAATCATTTCATACCATTGATTGCGAGTATTAATATGGTTACTGCTGTAGTGTTCATCAGCTGTTTTTTCTATTATTGTTATCACTGCAGTATTTTCTAATGGTCTCCAATTGAATTGGCCTCCTTTGATGGTTGGCACCTCTGTTATTGTTTCTATTATGTCCTCTTTTCTCTTTGTCCAGTTTATTTAGCTTTTCTATACACCATTTCTTTTTTCTATTGCTTGCTTTACTGATATGTTGATAAAATCGTAGTTTTACATTTACTGCTACCTAACATAAGGAAATGGCTAGAGTCTACATCCGAGTTTATAGGATCTCATGTCATTTACCCTGTTGAAATGTTCCAGCGATATCAAAATGTGGTCTATTTGACTATATGGTGCTATACTCCATTTGGTGCTCTTCAAGTATGTTTATGCTTGTTCTTGTGAGAGAAGACTACTCATTACAACTAATGCATTATCTGCAGCAAAATCAATCCTTTGGTTGTCATTATCATTTGTGGTTGGATGTAGACTTTAGTAATCTATATTTGGGCAGAATATGTTTTCTTTACCATCTCTCTGGCATTAAAGTCATCCATTACAATTTTTATATCGTTTCTAGACCATTGGTTCATTATTCCTTCCAAAGTATTGTGAAAGTCATCTTTAGTCTCTTCACATTTTTCTTTGGTTGGTGTGTGGATTATGGTGATGTTTCTTGATTTAGTCCTTATCCTTAATTTGCACATTTTATCATTTATAGGTTCGAAGTTGATTATTGAAGTTAGCAATTATTATAAATCTCATTCCAAAGGCGTAGTTGCCTATACTTCTACTCTAGAGAATGTCATAATGCTTTCCTTTAATGTGGCCCTTACCAGTCCAGTGGACCTCTTGTAGCGCAACTATATCCAATCTACACTTTGGCAGTTTAATTACTTTATCTTATATTATGGAATGAATTTCATAAACTATATTATTTTTTATTTCTTTTTTTTTACTAGGAGTAGCAGCTCTGACGAATGGAGGTGGTCTGTTTCTCCTGAAAATGGTAAATTGAATGATAATGAAAGGAAAGGAAATGATAAGAAGAGAAACAGGAGAATGCGGAGGAGTAGAAGTCGATCCCCTGATTACAGAAGAAGTAGATCCTCAGAAAGAAGGGTTACAAGTTATAAGCACAAATCAAGTAGAACAAAAGAATCTTCTGAAAATTGTAAAAAAAGATCAAATGAACAAAAGAGAAAACATACGGAAAGAAGAAGTCGTTCAAATGATAGAAATAGGAGTCATCCTTCTGATAAGAGGTACACCTATAGAGATAAGCATAGTAGTAGAAAGTCGAAGTCAAAGAGAACTAGAACTAATCAACGTTCTAGAAGTAGATCACTTTCTAGAGATAACAAAAGAAAAAGGGGTGAAGAAAGTACTCGTAGAAGGTCCACTAATAAAAACAATTCTAAATATAAAGAAAGGGTTAAAAATAGAAGTAGCAGCAGTTCTTCTGGAAGTTCTGACAATGAAACGTCTTCATCTGGAAAAAGTTCAGTGAATAGCCAGACTTGAAGGGAACATTAATAACACATTTTCAGAAATATTTTTTTACCTAAAGTTTTATTATTTTGAGGAGTAAAATAAATTATCTAACATGCAAGTAAATAATAAATAAATAGCATGCAATTGACTGTGTATGATTGGCAATGGTCTGGAAAATTGAATGCTTTTTCCTCTTTTCTGTGAGTAGCACTATTCATAGAAGCTTAATGCTTTTGGCATCGTATTAAAATTTGAAAATAGTTATTATATTTTGTTTTTAAATTTACCTAATCACATATTTAATAAATAATCTTGGAAATATATTAAAAGTACTGAATACTTTGATGATAGGGGAATAAATGAGAGATCTGCTTGTTAAGCTGAAAAAGTGCTTAGTAAGACATTAATTTTTTCACCTACTGCAGATTAAATATATGTAAAAAAAATTCTGATGTTTGCATCAACAAATTTCACTTACCTTGGCTCTGCTTTGGATATTAATTATTTTTTGGCAATGTTGGGCTATTACAAAATTTTTGAAGTGTATTTTTAATGGAGCTAAAGCTTAAAGCTGTTAACAAATCATTAAGACCATTAGTATAAAAATGATTATAGATTGTACGAGTGTTTGTTATTTAACTCTTACCTTCCATTGTAAAGATGGAGTTACAAGATTTGCATTGCCTGCCATAGATAGGTCAAAACTTATTACACTAGTTGTAAGTGGATAATGTTGGGATTTCACAGGGAAAATTCATCAAATTATTCACTGATTTAATTTTCTAAAAGGTAGGTTACATTGTGATTATTCGGAATAAACGGACAATAGATATCTAATTATTTAAATATAGTATCGTACCAAAAATAAATAACACGAGACTTCTAGAGTTATTAAACTACAATAAATGTATTCAAGCTTATAAACAGATGTTTTACACATCCATGGAATATATTGTTATTTCACTTCTTTCACACTAATACAATGAAATTGTTGTTTAAACAATGTTATTGCTTTGATTCGGTGATGGATTTTATATACTTTTTTTCAAACTTAAAAATAATTCTAAAAATTTACATTTAGTTAGGAAAATTCGTTTAATTTTCTAGAAAACGTTATATCTGTGAAATAATATTTTTTTTCAGGAATTATTATTTATATTTTTTTGTTACTCTCCACTACTTTCTACAACTTCTTATATTAGATTTTTTTTTTTTTTAATTCTTTGCAATGATATATTATATAAATACCTTCTAAATATTATTTCTGGAGATTCATTTTCGAGCTAAATAAGCCATTTTCTTTTCTTCTCATTTATTCAATTATCAAATTCTTTCAAAAGTTATGTTTAGTCTTTTTTTTTATAATTGCTATCAATGAGAGATAGTTAATTATATAAAATGAACCAAATTAAAGGTACTGTAGCAATTTTTAACATCGGGTATTGGGTAGCGACATCAATAGGGATAAGACCTATATGATACTAAAGACCACTTAATAATACACTGATACACTGAGTTTTATCAAAATTGTTAGAGCCGTTTCTGAGAAAATGGTAAAATCGATGATATAAAGTGGCACTTCCAGCTAGCCGATTTTAAAGAAAAAGTTGCTGTAACATCCCAGCCATATACTTAACGTAAATATGTATTTTACGTTTTGCATGACTTTTTGTTTTTGAGGTAGACTTTTCACATACATACAGATCATTTTGTGGGACTTGGTTATTTGAATTCAGGGAACCTCAAAACATGTATTTCCGTTGAAAATTCAGATTTGAAAATTTTCACGACCATATTACTTTCCCTTACTATATATTACGTATTTAGGTAAGTGAAAGTAAAAAACATTAATCATTAGAGACATTGTAAGGCAATCCTAGTATACCTTTTTATGTTTAAGTTGTAAATATCTTTTTAAACTATTAACAAATTTATTTAGGTGTATTATTTTCTCACCACATTTTTGTATTGTATTTTTTCAAGATGTATCATGAACATTGGAGGAAAAAATGTTTCCTATGAAATTCATATCTAGTCATAATGTCCAGGTTTTTTTTTTGTACATAGTTATTTTGTTATCTAATTATGAAGAGTTTGTAATCAGAAATGAAAAGAATTTAATGTGAGTCATGCCATTCAGCCATGTGGAAAATTTTATTTTGTGAAATCAAAGATTACCTCATACAGGTACATAATTAACACAATAGTTTGTTATATAATTAACAAACTTTTATTACAATTTTAACTTTGGAAAATTTTAATGTTACAATGTTTTATTATTTGACTATAATGTAGATAGCTAATTCGATTGCTTGCAGGTATGTAATGATTTTTTGAGCGATGAGCTGCTTTGATTTTTAAGTTTAGTTGTTTAAATTATTCAGTGAGATTCTGTGAGTGTCACAAAAAAAAGCTCAAAGTGCTGACAAATTATTATAATGTAAAATACGTTTAATCTATCCATTAAAAAGTATTTTATGATTTTTTGTGCAAACAAGTCGACCTATTTTTAAATTTGATGGTTCAAATTATTCAATGAGATTTCGTGAATGTTTTAAAACAATTGGAGCTTAAGAAGAAATATTTTATTATGTTATAAGCATCTTAATTTTTTGTAGGTTTCATACCATGTGTAAGTTCATTATTGTCTGTGATGAATATAAATTGTGTATATTGCATTTTACAACATTGAAAAATTGATAATTTTAAAATAAAAAGATTATTTATTTAAAAACAAAAATTTAAATAACCCTATCTGTCTTAAGAGAATGAAATTACATTACATATCTACTTAAACACCTTTGTAGATTGTTTGGAAAATTGAGTCTATGAATAGTTAACATTGGTGTTATAATCTTCCACTACATATTTCTACCAATTAACAATCTACCAATGTATTCAAGTAGCGATGCAAGTACAGTACCAGTATTTTTAAAAATTAAATTATTTAAATTGTAATACTATAATTATGACAAATAGTTTCCAAAATATTTGTTATATACCTAAGGCCATCTGCAGGTGGGTCATTGACTGTTTTGCATAAGAGAAATGTTGGCTATTTTCATGTAAACAGAATAATTCTTTTTATTTCTATAACCAGAATGGAATGATCAAAATTCATTTCATGTATCCTCCATTATGTACAAATAGTTCACTCTAAATCACCAAACCCCTATAGTGAGTGTATGGCCAAGGACAAGGAGCACTTAGGACAAGGAGCGTCTATCCACTCAAATTTTTTTTAGAGAAGTAGTTAGCCTTTGTCCTGCCATTCTTCGAAATGCACCAATCTTAAGGTCACTTTTTGTTGTGGGAGACATTGATTTGAAAGTGATTTCCATTTCCTGATACATAATTTGTTGTTTTCAAATGGAATTTCTTCTGATTCAGGCAGCCACTGTCCTCACTGCATTTGCCATTTTCACAGTGCGGAGACGACCTGGTCTAGGTATGTCACATACAGATAGGGTCTCATTGTATGTATTTATAGTGCGGTACACGAACATACGGCTGATACCTAAAGCTTTCAAAGTGTTAAAAATCTCTGACCTACATTTTCCAACTTTGTGTAAGGCGATCACAGTTTTCGTAAGGCTATTTGGTTTTCTTTATAGATAGATAGAAAATGACTTTATTCTGGGACAAAGTCCCTTTAGAATAACAAAATATTACAAAATTAAAAGACTACATCTGGCCTAAATAAAACAATAACAAAAAAGGAAATATTATTTAAACAAGCTATATACAAAAAATAAATAAATAAACCTATATGCAAAACATTTAAAACTATGTACAGTATAAAAAGTTATAATTATATACTTATAAGAAAAAAACCCCTTGAGTTCTTCTTTAAAATAACTGCTGTGTTTTTGCTAACAAAGGAAAATCAAATCTGAAAATATAAAATGTCATTATATTTAAATAAGGAATAATATGTAAACATATCATCTTATTGTAACTATAGGTACAGATTTAGTTGTATAAGAATAAAAAAATAATAGTAAAAACAAACAATAGATGCATTCAGTGGCATTAAGAGTAGGAAGATATTGTAATATCCCTAGTGAAGTTAGTATGGAATAATACTATCATTTGATGATGAATGATATAATGTAAATGTATAATATCAAAAGCTTAGCAAGTATCTGACTGGTTTTGGGATAGGAATTGGAATAGGAGTGTTTTAATGTGGATATGGAGGGGGAATGGCGAATTTTGATTGGTAGGTAATTCCAGGAATTGACAGCGCGAGCAATAAAGGAGTTTTGAAATGAGGCCGATCTGTGAGAAGGGATGTAGAGGTCAGAAGTTCGAGATCTTGTTGAAAGGGAATGGATTGAGGACTTGAATTGGAGAAGATTGTAGGCGTAAGAAGGACGATGATTGTTGATGATGACGAAGGAACTTACCTAGGAAGTATTTTCTTCGAAAGGAAGGAAAGAGCCACCTTAACTCAATGTAGTGGTGAGAGACGTGGGTACTCCCTCCAGATTCTTCTCGGGGCACCATTTACAAATCTTACGCAGCTATTCATTAGTCTTTTTCGTCTATCATGGAGATCCACCGAGAGGCCATCATACACCACACAACTGTAGTCAAAGTGGGGAAAGATGAGAGAGAAAACCAGGAGCCTACATGTATGCTGGTAGGAGGTAGGAGATGGCGGAAGCAATGGAATAGTTTGAGGGTAGAAATTGTTCATCGAGAGACGTGATATATGGTGGTTTCAGGAGAGGGTTTGATCGATGCAAAATCCTAAATTTTTAACAGAGAAGTAAGAGATTGTTTGGTGGTCATTAAGGTGTAGTTTGAGAAAGTCGGCATGGTATCTAATAAGGGGCTTGGAACCAATGACAGTGGCCTGAGTTTTGACAGCATTTAACTTTAATCCATTTACATTTGCCCAGACACTGATTCGATCAAGGTCTTCTTGAATCTTGGCAAATGCTACCAATAACTCAGGGAGAGAAAAGGATAGGTAGATCTGGGAATCGTCTGCATAAAGATGGTGGGGACAATGGATAATTAAATTATGTAAGTCGTTAATATAGGGACTGAAAAGGAGAGGAGATATGCTTGAATCCTGGGAAATTCCAAAGGATAAAGAAAGATAGGCTGATAGTGGTTGATTGGGTATGGAAACTGCTTGGGTGCATTGGGAGAGGAAAGATTGGAACCAACAGATGGAACTATTGGAGAAAGATAATGATTTTAATTTGTTGAAAAAGGTGGAATGATTAATGGCATCAAAGACTTTGGAGAAGTCGAGAAGTGTAAGGACAGTTAATTTTCAATTATCTATTGCAGTTTGAATGTCGCTGGTAATTTTAATTAAGTCGGATAATCTTTATCGCCCCACTCCATGTTAACTGAGCGAAAGAAAAATATAAACTAATTGGGATTATTATTCTGACATAAGAAAATAACCTGATAGAGGTAAGGATTATCTAAATAATACCCAAGAATGTTAACAAAGTTTAACATTTGTAACAGTATTTATGGCAGAACTAGGTATATTGTACAGAATTATGGGTGACCTTATACGAGATGCTTTACATTTCCTCATTTTTTTTGTTAGCTGTTAACAATATAGACCAGGGGTCTCCGAGCATAGCATGTTAGACCAAATTCTCACATACGACTACCAATGGTTTAAATTGATTTGGGCCTTGGCAGAGCATTCGACTCCTCATTTAGGCTCTGTCAGGCATTCTGAGAAGGCTTGCATCTTCCAGTAATGTAAATATTTCAGTCACCTCTTGGTGTAATGCGCTGAAATCCACTAACAGATCTATTGGTACTAATGGTTTCTCTACATCTGGTTTAAGCCCGGGAGAGGACAACTTTATCGGCGATATCTACTTGCCGGTACCCTTGACCGCTCATTTTCATAATAGTATTGCGATCTTATGGTTGAAGAATTAGAATTGAGAAAAGTCAAACAGCAGAGATCTCCAAACTACGGCTCGCGGGTTGCAAACACCTCCAATCCGGCTCGCGAAGGTTTCTTTGATTACACGGTAAAATTAAAGAAATATGAAATTTAGCGAATTACTCCCACATGAGGTTATCTCAACATTTATTGCATGTTTTTTTTTTTTTTTATCTTAGGAAGCTTATTTCACAACTGAATAGTCATTTACAGAGCAACCTTTTTTTTGTCATCACAAGC